CCCATTGCCCCTCGTGCTCTTGCACTCACTGAGGATCAGCGGGACTTGCTCCCACGGCCCAATTCCGTTAGTGCGGTCGGTTCCGGCCACCAACTCCGGCCAGGGATTTGCCCTGACTTGCCCCAATTGCCCGATTCCGACTTTATCTGCGACTGCAATTCGGGGCGTTTCTTTCTGGATATTTGTTCCGGGGCCGGGGCTCCTGTCAGCGCGGCTATGCAAGTCTTGGGCAAGGACTGCTTTCAACCAGTTGACATCATTCATTGCCAGGATTTCGACCTTCTGGATGATGAATTTTTCGCTCAACTCCTGGCGCTCTGCTCCAGCGGCGTGGTGGGAGCGGCAATAGCGTCTCCGCCCTGCGGGGAATTCAGCCTTCTCAAACTTCGACCGGGCGGACCACCCCCGTGCCGCACACCGGAGGAGCCGCTCGGTTGTATGTCCAACGATTGGCATCAATCTATGGTGGCTCAGAACAGCGCTCTACTTCATGATCGATGTCGGGAGCTTCTCTCCAGTGTCGCGGCTCTCGGAGGCTGCATTGTTTTTGAACAGCCGCCATCTTCCATGACTTTTTTGACAGAGACCATGCAACAGTGGATTTCCAGCACACTTTCATTCGGTGCCCAAGTTGCAGCTTGTCATCACGGCATGGATGTGTCCAAGCGCTGGCTCTTCTTGTCCAACAGGCCGGACATACTCGACCTCGCGTCTGAGTGCCAACATGGATCCCGGGCGCACAAGGCTGTGTGGGGGATTCGAGCAGATGATGGAAGTTTCCTTAGCCGAATGACGGCTGCGTACCCGAAATCGCTGGCGGCCGCTTTGGCTGCGCTTCTGGGAAGGTACACTTCGTCTCATGGCCGGCTGCTTTCCTGTGCAGAGTGGCGCTCTGTTCTCCCCCTGGACCCAGTTTGGCCTCAGCTGGGTCGCCGCATTGAGGATGGGGCAGGTGTCAATAGTACAGCGTGCTGGATTACCGCACAAGCCGATGACCACCTTGCAGGTCTACGTAAGAAGTGGACGCAGCGTCTGGTCGACAGTCGTCTCTGTCTCCGCATCTGCTCCACGTTGCGAGCTGGTACCGATTGTCCACCAATCAGCGCGGAGGAGCTTCAGCCTTTTCTCGATGACCTGTGTTGCTTTTGTGAGGTTCCTGTAACAGAGGTCGAGAATTTTCTGTCGATTCAACCGGGACAGCCTTTCCGCTTGAACGTCCTGGAGAAGCTGCTGGCTGTTACTAAAGACCCTGAATCGGATCTATGCCAGCATCTCAGGAAAGGTGTGCGCATTGGTGTGGACCACGAACTGCAGCCCTCGCCTCATTGGCCACTTCGCACTGCGGATCCGATTGTGTCGGACCTCGTGATTTGCGGAGGTTCTTGGAAAAGTGCCTCCGACCACCCGGATCAGGTCCGGGAGCTCCTGGATCAGGAAATCGCTGAAGGCTGGATAGTGGAGAGACCGTCGGTTCAATACCTGCATGATCACTTCCCGGCGGTGGCTATCGGCAAACTTGGACTGGTTCTGGCCGAAGGTAGGTCGCCTCGACTCACGGTCGACAGCTCGATTAGTGGTGTCACGGCCGCTTGTCAGATTCCAAATCACATGCTGCTGCCACGCATATCCGACGTTGAGGATTGCGCTCCCTCCTGCCTAGGCCGCCAACCTTGGATCACGGTTTCTTTGGATGTGCGCAAGGCTCACCGCATGGTCATGGTGGAACACTGTGACCAGGCTTTGCTGGCCTTCACCTTCGAGGGACGCGTCTTTACGTCCAGCACCCTTAATTTCGGGGCCAGAGCATCCGCTTTTTGGTGGGCCAGAGTTGGTGGAGCCCTGCTTCGTCTGTCGCACGCAGCGATCTGGCTCTCGCATCTGCTTTGGGGCTACGTGGACGATTTTTTGGGAGGTTTCCGCGGCGATGTGGCTCCGATCTCTGCCTCCATTTGGATTCTCTTGCTCCTAGCACTGGGAGTACCACTTTCTTGGCCAAAGTGTGTCTGGTCGTCGGAGTGCATTTGGATTGGATGGTCCATCAACCTTGAAAGCTGGGTTTGCGAGCTCCCGTCTGCGAAAATTTCCAAAATTCTTGATCAAATCGCTGAGCTACTTTCTGCTGGGGACAAGGTCAAGTTCAAAACTTTGGAGTCACTCATTGGACGCCTCTTGTGGGTTACAGGCTTGTGGACGGTGCTTCGGCCTCTGCTGTCCCCATTATATGCAGCTCTGCAGCGCTTATCAGCTTCCTCGGTTGGTGTCAGCCCTGAGCTGTGGGCTGCGATCAAGCGCAACATTGCTGAGGATTGCGTGCTGACCCGCTCTGTTGGACATCCGTCATTCCATAAAGGTGCTTGCATTACCCGTGCGGCCAATACTTTTGTGTCTTGCAAGCAGGATCTTGATCAGGTGCCATTCAGGAAGCGCCGATTGTGGGTCGAGGTGAAGGATCCTGGGCATCCGCTGCGAGTCCTCGGGGATGTAGGCAGGTCAAGCTCAATTGCACGGCGTGCCATTTTCCAGGGCACCCCCTTCATGAAGGCGCTTCGTAGCCCGCTCCCGCTGAAGGTCATCGCGGAGGCGGATGCATTTGCCGATGCGGAGGTGTCTGGGTTAGGAGGCTACGCCATGTGGCCCAGTGGTCGCACTGTCTGGTTCTCCATTAGAAAAGACAGTCAGGAGTGGGCTGCTCTCACTTCGTGGTTCCCTCCGCCCCTCCAGGCGCATATTTCGGCATTGGAACTCCTGGCTCAATTACTGCTGCTTTGGTGTGTCTTCGCCACTCTGCCTTCCAATCGTGGACTCTGTCGGGCTTGCCTTCGTTCGGACAACTCCGGTGCAGAGGCCTGTGCCTCCAAGGGCCTTTCCTCGGTGCTGTCCATGAGCGAGATTGTCAAGAAGTTCCTTGCTTTTCAGGCGTGGTCTGGTGTCCAAGCTGAGGTCGAGCATGTACCTGGGTATCGCAATGAACTTGCAGATGCGCTCAGCAGGCTTACGCCGACCGACATTGCACCCTTGCCCCTGGGTGACCGTGTGCATCCGCCTTTGCAATGGCTTCTTGAGCAGCGGCTTTTGCTGGAACCTGCTTCGGCCTCGTGGCCGCCTCCTTTCAAGACTTGGATGAGTAGTCCCTGAGTGCGATGTTTATTATCACTTCCACATGTTTGCAGGCTTGTTCGCCAGCGGCGAAAATACATCGCGGTTGGCTTCTCTGTGTTGTCTGGAGCCTTATTGCAGAAAGCTGCTCTTTTGCCATGCCGTGCACGTGTGGGAGATGTGCGACCGGGTGATCTTCAGCACGCTTGCTGACGTCGATCATGCGTGCCGCCCCGGCCGTGATGCTTGTTGCCGGCTCCTTCTTGCACTCTGATGCGGACTTTGAGCTTCGGCTTGACGGAGTCCGTCCTTAAATCTGTGATGTATGACTGCTGCCGGCCTCGCTTGCCCTCCGCAGTCTTTTGCTTACAGTATCCAGGGTCTTCTTGCATTGCACTAAAATGTCGGGCCACTCGGTGGAATCTTCTTCCCGTATGTGCGGCGCTGCTCCAGAGTCGTCTCCATTTTCGGGGCCGGTTCTACGGGAGGCTGATCTTGGAGCGTTGGGGGCCTGTCCCCCGCCGTGTCACCAATGCGATCTCCTTCGTGCGGAGGTGCTGATGCTACGTGCTGAAGTTGCGAGCCTACGCAATTCCAGCTTGGCTGCACTCTGGGATGCGATCTATGCCTTGCAGGGCCAGCTTAACGAGGTTCGCCCACGTGGCGAGGATGACCATTTTTCATTCGTGTTTACGGCGGTCGAAGAGCACACTGCAGCTCGCCTGCTGCGCTCGCCTTTGGCGAATGTTCGCTGCCTTCGCTATCATGAACAACGTCTGGACGCTCTTGTCAATCTCAATGCTGACATTGAACGTCGACTTCGCTCGCTGGACTTGGCATTGTCTCGAGCCTCAGGTTAGCTCTGACACCAGGCTGTGCATCCGAGTGAAAACCTGCGAATGTGTTCTGCACATTATGACGTGTTTCTCGATTTATTTCGGGTCTTTTCCCCTGTCCGGGTCGCGAAACGATCTTTACTTGGCTTTCGACCCTTTCAAACCCTTCCCCCTGACCAGTGCGTTTCCCCTTTCCCTTTGGAGCTTGCTCTCCACGGTGGGACGGGGTTTTGAACGTTTGCTGCATTGGCTGGGGGTCTCGTCGGGTTGGTCGATCGTTGACTCGGCATTTCCTTTCGAGAGAACATGTCGTTTGAGTGCGTGCACGTTTCTCTATATTTCGGAATGGAATTATATTTCGATTCCGTCTGCTCCCATTTTGGAATATCTATCGGATGGATATTTCACTTTATATTCCTTGACTGGGAACTTGAACGTATACGGACTAAGAGGGCTTCAAACGATTTTCGTTTTTGAAACGATTTGGTTTGCTAGCCCTCAAAGCCCGGAAGGCAAGTTTTCGTTTTCAACACATGCCTTTTTCCTTTGCGCATGCTTGGACGTGGCAGTGTTGAATTTCGCTTTCGTTTGCCTTTTTGGTTCAAGTTCCTTTCCTGGTCAAAATTTTTTCACCCACCACCATCCCCTTGCACCCGCCATGGGGGGTAGTTACGGTACGGCTTTCGACCCTTTCAAACCCTTCCCCCTGACCAGTGCGTTTCCCCTTTCCCTTTGGAGCTTGCCCTCCACGGTGGGACGGGGTTTTGAACGTTTGCTGCATTGGCTGGGGGTCTCGTCGGGTTGGTCGATCGTTGACTCGGCATTTCCTTTCGAGAAAACATGTCGTTTGAGTGCGTGCACATTTCTCTATCTTTCGGAATGGAATTATGTTTCGATTCCGTCTGCTCCCATTTTGGAATATCTATCGGATGGATATTTCACTTTATATTCCTTGACTGGGAACTTGAACGTATACGGACTAAGAGGGCTTCAAACTAGCATAAGTTGAAAAGCCACCACTGGGGTTTAGGGTTTAGGTTTACAAAGCCACCACCAGCCAAAGCCAAGGTGGGGGTATTGCAGACTCTGTCCTGGTGGGCGCATTGCATCAGGTTGGCTTGGACGGTGTCTGGGTCAAAAACCCATCCGGAGACATTCTTCCAGACCTTAAAGGTTTAGGGTCTCGGGTGGTGGGTTCGAGGTCGAAAGTTTCGAGTTAAGGGTTAGATTATGGGCTGGATCCAAGGTTTCGGGTAAGGTGTAGAGCATTTTGCAGTAAGCTGCCGTGGAAAGTTCCTGCTCCTGCAACGCGGGAAGTTCAGGCGGAAACGGTACGCTGTAGGTGGGGTTATAAGTAGGGTAACTGTAGTTATAACCCATATCGGGAGAACTTGTAACCACCTACGAACCTCCAAGTAGGCCCTAAACCCTATACCCTTTACAGATTCCCTATAGATCCCGTTAAAGGGACCCTTAAAGGAACCCTTATAGCCACCTACAGGAGAACCTCCAAGTAGGATCCCAAAAAAGGATTCCGAAACAACTACTCCGGGAGCCGAAGATGCCCGTAGTTCAGAAATACCACTTAGATCCTACACCCGAAACCCTAAAAACCCCTGAACTCCGACGGTTGATGACATAAACTCTGCATGACCTCAAGGAACCTAAAGTATGGGAATTATGGTATATTCCTTAAATAGGGTAATGCAGGATTTATATCATCAACCGGTAGTTCAGAAATACCACTTAGATCCTTCGCCCTAAACCCCTAAACTCCTAGTTGTTAAGCTCATAACCCCCCGCCCGAAAACCCCTAAACCCTAAACCGTTTAGTCTACGTGAAGTTGTCGAGGAGAGCTTGCGAGCGTGTTGTTAAGACCCCACTCTGAAGTCAGGGTGCTCGTTGTTTGAAGGGTGACTATATGGCCTGCTATGAGGGTTAGTGTAAGGGTTAGTAGACTCTAGTCTGTTAGAGTAGATCATCCCTTAACGATGACTTCAACAAACGCGAAACCCTAAACCCTTAAAAACCCTAAACCCCTGAATCCTAAACCCCAAAGCCTAAACCCTAGCATCAGGGTGAGCAGTGGGGGGGGGCCTTTCAAGTTGTGCCATTCCGAGTGTAAGCCTCCTATGAGGCGGGCTCAGGACCCGAGGCCTCGCTGGGTGCTTTGGAGAAAGAGTCATTGCACCTTAAGCAAGAAACCCTAAACCCCTAAACCCTAAACCCTAAACCCCTAAACCCCTAAACCCTAAACCCTAAACCCCTAAACCCCTAAACCCTAAACCCCTTCAACAAAAACATCTAAACCCCAGGTCTTGTTGCAGACGCTGGTCTGGAGATGACCGTCGCTGAGCACGGCGGGAACCTTTCCCAGGTGCGTGATCCGTGCTGTGCTGATGCAGGGTTTAGGGCGGTTTAGGGTTTGCAGGTGTAGGGTTCAGGGTTCGGGGTCAGAGGAATTAGAGTAGCGTACTTGTTGCTCTGCTTCGAACCTACTTAGTATCTTTTATGTAAGAAGCTGCCAATCGGCCGTTGCTGTTGCCAGGGTCAGCGGCAGCTGCTCTGCATCGCAAGAGCGCCTTGGGATTAACACGGCTCCACACGCACATGACTGTCCAATCGGACGTGATCGATAAGGTGATCCTTGTTTTTCTTATGGGGCAGCCGGCCGTGCGAGTGCTTGTCGCTGAGGCATTCGTGAGGGAAGCTCGCATCATGATTCTTGATGAAGCCACATCGTCTATAGAGTCTTGGATGAATCAGAGCGAGAAGAAGTGCCAGCAGATTCGCAAGCTGATGACACCCGAGGACGAACAGACAGACAGTCTCATCAAGACGACGCTCCAAGAGCACTGGTCCAAAGGCAAGGTCGTTGCTGTTGCTCAAAGCCCCTAACCGCTAAGCCCTAAACCCCGAAAGTCTTTAACCGCCCGAGATGAGTCCGCTTTTCCCTGTTTCTGTGCCCTCCAGGCCACCACAACTGCACCGTTCTTACAGTTGCTCACCGTCTTAGCACCATCTTGGATTACGACAGGACATCCGGGTGCAAAGCCAGGTGCCCTTAAGCCCTGGACCTTAGCCGCTCCCTTTCCAGACTCTTCGTAGGATCCAAACATGCGGTGGAATCGAAGTTTAGTCCGTATGCTGGCAGGATATCTTTCTGGGTTGCTGTTAAGGACCTTAGTCGAAGTTACCATAATAGGGATACATGATTCCTTCTTACAGCAACTAACCTTAAGTTCCCTAACAGCAACCCAATACTCTGGTTGTAGGATACGCTTTGGGGCGAACTTTGTGGAGGATCTTCGTTTCACCCGTCGAGGGGTCTGGAACTCCATCCCCGTGATCTTCCCAGAGATCCCAACACCCCTCAATTAAGGAATATACCTTTAAATTATAATGTTAAGGCCTCTAAAATTTAAGGTATATTCCTTAAATGAGGGGTATCCGGATCTCTGGGCTCGGAACAGCATAATTTAGGGGTTTCGGGTTCCTTTAAAGCGTGCTAGAAGGGTCCTTTTAGCTTGATCTATAAAGATTTGTGAAGGGTACTGTAAGGGTTCCTTGAAAGGGATCTATGATTGAACCCAAATCCCTAAAGAGCCACAAACCCTAATCCTATCAAGCCCGAAAACCAAAACCCTACTCCGTACACCCTCGGAAGACACCCTTTCAAACTCCTTATAACACCTTATTTCCTATTGCTATCCTCAGAAGCTCCATTTAACATACCAAAACCTGCTTTTTTTGTTTTTGTAGGTTCTTATTATTACCCCTAGTACAGGGACCCTAGAAAAAAGTAGGTTTTGTAAGCCCTAAACCCCATGAAGCACTACAAAACATTGCTTTAACAAGCCCCTTAAACTCAAAGCCCTACGCCTTCAGATTACCGAACCGTAAACCCACACTAGAAACCTTTGCCAGTCCCTATAGTAAGCCCTATATACCCGGTCCAACAGAACCAGAAACCCTCAATTCTTGTCGCAACCCTTCTACGGTTGATGATATTAATCCTGCAGTACCCATAATAAGGAATATATTATAAATCCCATAATTCAGGGTCATTAAGGTCATGCAGGATTTATATCATCAACCGTAGTAGCCCGTACAGCAACCCAATAGGTCCCTTTAGAGGAATCCGGAATCCGAAACTTTCCAGTCGCCCCGTAAACTAACCCCTGTAGATCCCTGTCAAAGAACCCGAAACCGTGAATCGGTTTAGGGTTTAGGGTTTAGGGTTTAGGGTTTACAGTAAGCCTTATCGCAGCCCGTATAGTAACATCCATAGACTCATATAGACTCCTTTCAAGGAACACGAAATCCTACATCCCTAGAGTAACCCTTATAGTAGCCCGGATGGTACCCCCTCCAGATCCTTGTAAAGGAACACAGAACCCTAAATCCGTAGAGTAACCCCTACAGATCCCTTCAACGGAACCGGAAATCCTAAATCCTTATACTAACCCGTATTGTAGCCCGTACAGTAACCTAGATCTGTTTAAAGGAACCCGAAGAAACCCTAAGTCCTTATAGTAATCCTTACAGTGGCCCTTATCGTAACTCCAGTCCCTTTAGAGTAACCCTAAATTCCTATAGTAACAATCAACCCTAAACCCGGACCCCTATAGATCCTTTTCAAGGAACCTGGATCCCTTTAGAGTAGCCCGTAATCTGAAATTCCTGTAGTAACAATCAACCCGGCCCTATAGATCCTTTTAAAGGAACCCTTGAGCCCCTTTTCTTGAGGATCCTTGTGCTGAGCCGTGGCGAAGTCGTGGAGTTCGGTACGCCAGAGGCAGGAACCGACACAAAAGCCATAAAGGCTTAGGGACCCAAAAAGCACAGAAGCATACGCATTTTATGGGGGATATCCCCACCTGAGTGGGCTTCATTATAGGGCTTTTCATGGGATATCCCTATCCCAAATATGGGAGTTTCCGAAAGTTAGGAAAGTTAGGGGTACCTTTTTATTTTGAGGTCCTTATAATTGGGATCCTACTAAAAAAGGTCCTGTATTTGGGTCCCTTATTTTCGGCAACTGCCACAAAGGCTTAGGTCTAGGTTTAGGGTTTGAATTTGGGACATCCCATGATACCTTTTTGAGTAAGCCGAGAGAGTAAGGATTTTTGTCGGGTGCCTTGTTTTGGTTCTTACCCAATTACAACCCCACTTATAATCGACTTACTAAGTCCCCTGAGCCTCTAAGTAAGAGGAGCTACTCTCAAAGCCGGAGGGTCACTTCGCGCAGATGGCGATCCTTCGGTGTAAAAATCAGGCGAGGGGCGTGAGGGCCTCTGACTTTTCTGTAGGATGTTAGAAGGAATTACTTGGAGGTTCATGGGTAGTTACAAGTGGGGTTATAAGACCCAGAATATGGACTATAACTACAGTTACCCTACTTATAACCCCACTTATAACTACCCATGAACCTCCAAGTAGTACTACAGGGATTTTGGGATTAGGAAGTTTAGGGTTTAGGGTTTCGGGTTTAGGGTTTTGGGTTTAGGAAGTTTAGGGTTTGAGTGTGATTCTTTGCATTCTTGGAGACTGAGGAAAGATGTCACACCTGCGCCGACAAAAGCTTCTTTGTAGCGAGAGGAGCACTGTAATATAGGGGCCTTAGTAATTACCTTTACTAATTTGGGGGTTCCGCATTATAATTGTAGCAGCATGGGCCCCAAAACCCTATTCTAATTATTAAGGCCCCTACATTACTCCAGCAGCGTCGGTGCCGAAAACTTCGGCCTCTTCCCACTTTAAAAGCGCCTTCGAATTAATTGGCTTGGCCTTGACTTTGGCCCAACCAATTTTGTGCAAGGGGTCTCAAAGCAGACTATCAAGCTTCAAGCTCGACCCTTGTAATTTGCGACAGTTCGTCTGCAGGTTTTGGATGCAAGTGTCACCAATAGTGTGGCACCTGTCATAGCCATAGGACTGTCATTGTTTGCGGCACCCAGTCACCACGCTTCCACTTATGTGGAATGGTGCAGTTGTCGCATTCGTTTTGTATACCTTTTGGATGTTTCGGTGCGCTTGGCCGTGCTGCAGATGGCCGGCCGTCAAATGGCCGGCACTTGCTTGCATGGATATCGGCACATGACGGATGGAACAACTGAGATCTTGAGACCAGCACAGCAGCGCCCCACCGCAGCGCCCCACGAGTGCCACTAGCGTCAGCACCACCAGCACCACGAGCACCACGTGCACCACCAGCCGGACACCGACCAAAACTGGCCACCACCGACCAGCACCAGCACCACTAGCGACGCCACAAGCAGCACGACGCTCATCAACCCGCACCGCCAGCGCAACCAGCACTGTCAGCACTGCCAGGGCTAGCACCCAGCAAAGACTTCTGGGTCGGAGGGTTTGCCGACCTGCTGGCCCTCATGTCCTCAACGCTTGCCAGCAACATGCATATGTACATGTATATAATGTATATAGATATATATATATATATATATATATATATGTATATATGTATATATATATATATATATATGTATATATATATATATATATATGTATATATATATATATATATATATATATATATATATATATTTACATTTATATTTCTACACATATGGCTTTGTTGGTATATTTTTCACATCGGCACGTTTGCCATGAGTTGCTGCGTAAGGTTTCGCGCCGCTGTTGCAGTCGAAGCTCGAACCAGTAAGCCCCAAGGAATGTGCCCGTGCCCTGAATTTGCTTTAAGTTACATAGATTGCGGACGGATGTTTCACATCCAGGGATATTTCTAAGTTCCGAAGTTCAGGAGTATGCCCTAATAAGTGCATTCCCTGATTTAGGGTCTTTGGGCTGTCGGCATTTAGGTTTTAGGGTTTAGGCGGCTCGAGAGTTACTTAATATTAATACAACATAGAAACCTGGATATGGGAGTTTCCGAAAATTAAGGGTACCGTATTTCAGGGTCCTTATAATAAGGATCCTACTATTCAGGGTACTATATTCGGGTCCCCTGATTTTCGGAAACTCCCAGGTGTGACAGCGGTCTGTGTAGGGAACCGTGCTACGTATTCAGGCTTCACTCCCCTCGTCTCAGACTGTGGGGGGTTTTACACCCAAAAAGTAGATCCCTTAATGGGGGTTCCTATAAAGTACCCTTAGTAGTAGAGGGCCCCAAATCAGGGGATCTACTTCCCCTTATAGATCCCTAAACCCTAAACCCTAAAGGATCCCTTAAAGGAGCCTTGAAAGGAACCCTACTAAACCCTATACCCTAAACCCAAAACCCGAAACCCTAACCTCTAAACCCTAAACCGATCCTCCCAAAGGTCTGGGTGAGGGGCCCAGCAGCGCCTGAATCGAGGATGAGAGTTCTAAGCACTTGGGAGTTTCCGAAAGTTAGGGGTACCTTTAGGGTTCCATTTAAAGGGTTACTATAAGGGTACTACAAGGGTTCCTTTCAAGGGCTCTATAAGGGTTTAGAGTTTCCAAAAATTAGGGGTACATCCTCCTATTTGGGGCACTATATTGGGGCCCCATATAATGTCTCCTCCATACTCCGAAACTGGGGAGGGGGGTATTATGTTGAGCTTGAATTGTGCTACTGTAACCTGCATTCCAGGCTCGCTTCAGTTTTGCATAGGCTCGGACATGATCTTAACGACATTCAACGACTATGTATCCACGTGACAGTCGGAGAGCAAGAAAGCAGTAGGCACCCGGCTGGGAAACTTACGTATACGAAGGGCAAAGCAATGTGATCCTTCCTTTCTGATAGTTGCCACCCACACAGCCTTATCCGAAACAGTGGCTTCCACATCCGAGTTCGAAAGTGTTTCGAGCAATGATGGCTCAGCTGCCTGTGGACCAACGGACAGTAGGTGTTGTAAACCGAAATGATGGGAAGATGTGCGCTGGCTACACATTATTCAATGCAAATCGGGAGACCTACCTGATTGACGAGGATGGTCAGGTGGTCCACCTCTGGCGGAGTCGCAGGCCGGTGTTGAGTTCCTACTTGCGCCCTTCTGGAACCCTAAACCCTAAACTCTAAGCCCTAAACCCTAAACCCTAAACTCTAAACCCTAAACCCAGGCCGGTGTTCAGTTCCTACTTGCGCCCTTCTGGGCATCTCTTGCGAGATGGTGGTGTAGGCTCAGAGTCTCCCTTTGCAGAAGGCGGAGCTTCGGGGATAATCGAGGAGGTGACTTGGGAGAACGAGCGTCTTTGGACTTACGGTGTAGGGGTTAGGGTTTACGGTTTAGGGTTTGGGATATAGGGTTTAGGGTTTGGGATTTAGGGTTTGGGGTGTAGTAGGGTGTAGGGGTAAGGGTTTAGGATTTAGGGTTTGGGACGTAGGGTTTCGGGTTACGAACGAGGTGACCTGGGAGAACGAGCGTGTTTGGGCTTACGACTGCTATCCTTATCAGCAGATGCTGTGCCACCATGACATGGAGCCTCTGGAAAACGGAAGCTAGATACAGATTCGAGATGATTGGTTTCCTCATTGGTTCAATATAGAACCCACCCCAAACCCTATACTATGGACTTCAAGGGTTTAGGGTTTAGGGTATAGGCCATATACCCTATAAACCCTAACCTTAAACCCATCAAAAAGGCCCCTCAACCCTAAACCCCACCAAGAAACAGCCTTAAACACTGAAAAAACCTTAGTCCAGTAGTTGCCTAAACCCTAAACCCTATAAAAAACCTTAGTCCAGTAGTTGGCTAAACCCTAAACCCTATGTGAAAAGAACCCTATGAGTCCAGTAGTTGACGCCTAGGAAACCAAATCCCTGAAACCCTAAAAGCATAAAATCCTAAACCCTAAACCCTATTTCAAAAACAAAAACAATCCTAAACCCTAAACCCTATTTCAAAAAAAATCCTAAACCCCAACCCCTATTTCAAAAACCAATCGTTGACGCCTAGGAAACGTTTTGGTGATCGCCTGGGAGCGCAAGACGAAGCAGCAGGCGCTGGATGCTGGGCGCCTCCCGGAGATGATCCCAGATGGTGCCTAGGGTTTAAGCCTAAACCCTGAATCCTTTTACGGTTTTAGGGTGTAGGGTTTTAGGATTTAGGGTTTAGGATTTTAGGCTTTTTAGGGTTTTAGGGCATTTTAGGGACTGTGGTTTTAGGGATTTTAGGGTTTAGGGTATTAGGGTTTTGGGTTTATGGCTTTTGGGGTTTTAGGGTTGTAGGTTTTTTAGGGGTTTAGGGTTTTTAGGGTTCAGGGATTTTAAGTTTTCGGGGTGTTTAGGGTTTTAGGGTTTTAGCGTTTAGGGTTTCAGGATTTTTAGGGTTTAGGGTAGCTGAGTGGGTGCACACAACATCCGTTGTCCCTTTTTAAGCTGAAAGTTTACACTTTTGGGGCTTACGAACGCGGCAACTAAGTGAAGCCATTGGGATCTTTGGCACATTTTTTCTTATTGGGTGTACGAGGATTATATTCAAGACTCTTTGTTTTTGTGTTTGCGCTTTCCTTGCTTCCGCGGTTCTGAAACCTAAGCCGTGAGCCCGAAACGCTCAGAGCTTAAACCCTAAACCTTGCAGCATCCTTTTTGGACTTATGGTACGTTTTTTGGTAACCCTTTTAGTCCAAGGATGGAAGTATGGGCCCCTAATCTGGACCTTTAGGCCTTTTTGAGGGAGTCCTAGGGACCCTTAAGAGTCAAAATAGGCTATCTAGTAGGAAAACAGTTTCAACCGTTGATTGTGGTACGTCTTATAGTAACCCTTACAGACACTCTTCTAGTAACCCTTATCGTTATAAAGGTAACCTTTCCAGTATTCCTCTAACCCTTGGAGTAACCCGAAACCTAACCCTGAAACCCCTTATAGCAACCCTCACTTGGAGGCTCATGGGGAGTCATAAATGGAATTGTAAGTCCCCTAAGAGCGGTTATTACCAGATTTACCCAACTTATACCCCCTTACAACTACCCCTAAACCCTATAGTTATAGGATCCTTAAGGGGGGGTGGTTCAAGGGGGGAGGGTACTAGGGAGCTTTGGGGAACCTTAGGGAAGCTTAGGGAGTATTGGGGAATAATGGGGATTACTAGGTTACCTACCCCCCTTGGACCACCCCCCCTTAAGGACATCCTAATATAGAACCCTTAAAGGAACCCGTAAAGGGACCCCATCTACCAACCCATAAACTTCCAAGCCTGGGTTCTTGTTAAGGAACTTAATTTAAGTTACCATAATAGGGATCTATCGTAAATAATAGGGTTTCCTTATTATGGTACCTTAAATTAAGTTCCTTAACAAGAACCCAGAAGCAGGTGAAGTCTGGAGTGATGTAATCCTTGAGCTGAAGCCCGAGGGGCTCTCCGCCGTCATCGTCTGGCAATGGTCGATGCGGCTAGGCAGCTCGTGAAGTTTAGTTTAGGGGCCTAAGCAATTACCAGTACTATTTTGGGGGTTCCTTATTATAAGTATAGTATCATGGGCCCCAAAACCCCATTCTAATTATTAAGGCCCCTATATTAGGGTAAGGGTTACGATGGTGGTTCAGCATAGTAGAGTATTTTAGAGTGCGGTAGCGTATTGTTGTTCTGGTCATAAAGCCATAAAAGTATAAGTACAAGGTCTCCGGTAGGAACGAAGGTTATAGATTAAAGGGGCCTCCAAGAGCGACCCAGGTGGGATCATCTCATTCAGGACACCAGTCCTTCCCTGCACAGCTTTGGGCGGATTGCTGACCATCCGGAACTCTTCGACGTCAACTTCTGCCCCGCTGGTGGGAAGAATGCTCAGCGCAACAAGTCGCTTCTGAATAAAGACGGGGCGAGCCATCAGGAGCCCTCCGGCCTGAAGGTGATGGTGTGGCCTTGCAAAACTGGGGATAAGGACTGGTTGCACATCAACTCTGTGTCCTATGACCCAGTCAGGGACCAGATCCTCTTGTGCATCCATCTGTCCTCTGAGTTTATCATCATCGACCATGGTACTACTACAGAAGAAGCTCGGGGACATAGCGGTGGGAAGCGGGGGAAGGGAGGAGACATCCTCTATCGCTTTGGCAATCCCGCAGCATGCAGGCGAGGCATGCTTGAAGATCAGACCCTCTTCTGTGCCCACAGCACGTTCTTTATCAGGGGTGCGCCTAGGTTTTCGAGTAGCATCCTTTTGACCTTTTTGTTTTAGGGTTCCCTTATCGAAACTGAACAGCAGGAAAAAGGGTACTCTTATTTTGAAAGGGGACCTACTTAAAGGGTCATGGGACTTAGTAATTGGGGTTAAGGAAACTGAAGTTATAATTACATATAGCCTTAATTAAGGTACCTATAGCCCTGCTTACTAAGTCTCATGAACCTCCAAGTAGGCACCGGGTGAGGGCAACGTGCTGTTGTTCAACAACGGCCGGGCCCCCGATCGATTATTCTCGACGGTGGAGGAGCTCGAGCTGCGATACTAATAACCTGGGTTTGGAGTACCACACTTGAACACTTTTTTGGTACCTGTTCCTTACAAGAACTATGATGAAAGGCCTTTGGGACATTTTATGTTTTCCCTTATTGGGCTTAATAGGACCCTATCTACGAATATCTTTCAGAGGCTTTGAAGGGCCAACCTAGATAATGCAGGGGCCTCAATAATTTGAATAGGGTTTGGGGGCCCATTATACTATAATTATAGTAAGGGGCCCCGATACTAATAATGTAGGGGCCTTACTAATTAGAATAGGGTTTCGGGGCCCATTACACTATACTTATAGTAAGGAGCCCCTCAAATAGTATCGGTAACTATGGTAGGAGCACGAGCTGCCAGATCGAGCTGGGGAGTTCACAGAAATCAGCCAAAAGACGCCTCCAATCTGGAGCTTCGGGCAGAAACAGGGGAGGTCTGGCAGCTTCTATTGCACCTAGGCTACTCTTGAACATGGCTTCTTGATTCTCGTGTATTAAACTACAAAAACGAACTAAACCCTGAGCCCTGAACCCTAAACCCTAAACCGTTCAGGTACACACATGTCAGGAACCAGGCGACTTCCCAACGGCAATACTTTGATCATCATGGGCCCCCAGGGTACACTATTTGAGGCAGGGTTTGGGTTTTTCGGGTTCAGGGTTTGCGGTTTAGGGTTTAAGCTTTTAGGGGTTTAGGGGTGGAGTTCAGAACTTAGGGTTTGAGGCAGGGTTGTCCCTTTCAGATGTCCCCAAGTAGGCCATGGACGGATCTGTTCCGACGTCTTCTTTGGGAGATTCCTATTGTTGCAGGACTTGGGCATAGAGCCAACTTGAACAGGATCGGGGTCGAATATTTAGTAATACTATCCCGTTAAAAGTTCCCACATCGTAGTACAAAATACCTCGCAACCATGTTCTCATTGTGAAGGCCCCTGTTGCTTTCAGGTCACCCCAGAGGGTGAAGAGGTTTGGCGCTATGTGAACCCGGTCCGCGTAGACTGTGACTAGGGTGCAATTTGGGAAACTTGTTAATTTCCCTTATGGTTCCCATGGAGGTACCTGTTCATAAATACTTTTCAGAGCCCCAAAACTACAACCCAGTATTATACTATTACTACTATTACTATTACTATTATTACTATTATTACTATTATTATTATTATTACTATTATTACTATTATTACTATTATTACTATTATTACTATTATTACTATTATTACTATCATTACTATCATTACTATTATTACTATTAGTACCAAAACTACAACCCAGGTGATGGTGCCGTAGCTTGTGTTCGCCAGGGAGATTTTCGCACCACGGGTCGCTTCTCGCTATTCAATGCAACTGGGCCCCCAATTATAGTAGGGTTTAGGGTTTAGGGTTTAGGGTTTAGTATAACTGTTTCCTCGTTTGTTTACAACGGGGCCTTCCGTTGTTCGGAGCGGAAAATCGAAAAAAGGATACCCTTAATTACAAACCGCGTATGCAACTTATCTTACTCTTTACGATCGGAACAAGCGCATCTGAAACCGTTTAGAAGATCCTCGATTGTCAAGGGTGTCCCTCCCTGCCTCCCTTCCTTCCTCCCTCCCACGCTCGCTCTCTCTCCCTGTGTGTGTGTGTGTGTGTCTGTCTGTCTGTCTGTCTGTCTGTCTGTCTCTCCGTCTCTCCGTCTCTCCGTCTCTCTGTCTCTCTGTCTCTCTGTCTCTGTGATGATGGAACCTATAAAACTAAATAGCTCCCGTGCTGAGGCCAACAAGTACCCAGGAGCTTATTCGGGCTTCTTCAAGGATGGTGAGCCGAGATGTCTTCGAGCAAGGGGCTATCTGGAAGTGCTTTAAAGTCCCAGAGGGTCCTATGTAGTATTCGGGGGGATGATATAGAACCCTTACATTCTACTATATACGTATGTAGGACACTTTGGGACTGGAGGCCGTAAAGTTGGAACACAGAGGGTTGAGGGAGACCCGTGCTAGTAGTGTTTCTGATGTGTTCCTGTGCTTTACCAACTTTCTGGCTTCTACTTCAAGCAGTGCAGCTCATAGCTGCTCGCAGCCTCTTGAAAGGAAAACCTGCTGACATGCTTTGACCATACTACTATTTGCTTAAGAAACCCCCAAAAAATAAAAATAATAATCCCTATATTACCCCCCATAAGGAATATATTTTTTATTTTTTTGGGGTTCTTAAGCAAATAGTAGCATAAGCCCTGAACTCTAAACCCTAGGCCCTAAACCCCAAGCCCTGAGCCCGGAGCCCCAGACCCTAAGCCCTAAATCCCCAACGCCAAGCCCTTCGAGTTGGTTCTTCGCTTGGCAACCTTTGGAACCCTGAGGCTTTTGCAGGTGGGCGGAGTTGACAGTTTAGGGATTAAGGTTTAGTTTTTTGTTTTGGGGTGTAGGGTTTAAGGTTTTTTTTTTGGGGTTTGCGGCGTAGCACTCCGGGGTTCTCTCCTTAGTGTCCTATACGGTTCTATTAAGACGTAGGTCAGAACCTCGTTCTCCCCTATCTTTTGGGTTCAGGGTGCAGGATTGAAGGTAGGCCAGTGTCCTCCTTCTAGCAGTCTGCTTGTTGGAAGCTCCTAATTGGCTCAAGAGCAGCTGTTGCAGATACTTCGTCGCCTTATATAAAGGGCCCGGTCGAGGGTCTTGTGGCCATGGACCTGTCCGGGGCGAATGCCATTTCCTACGCGCCAGCTGCCAACTGCGAAGATGAAGTGAAGCCCATCAAGGACCCTAACTACAGCCGCAACTCAAATCCCACCTGGATGAAGACCCTCAACACACCCCTATAAAGTCTGGCAGAGCCTGCTCAAGCCCTGTGAAGGACCGCAGAAAACCCTCTAAGTCGCCCCAGGATCAGGCCCTAAAACCCCAAACCCCCCAGACCCCCGGAAAGATCTAGAAAGTAGATCCCCTAATTTGGGGCCCTATACTAAGGGTACTTTTTTGGAATCCCCATTAAGGGATCTACCTTTTGGATCCTCCCGAAATTCTGGGCCTGAATCATCATCCCCAAACTCTGGAACCCGTAAGTGAAACCTTACACCAACTCTTCTTGTAACGCCCTACAAAAAACCACCTCGAGTCGCCGAGGTCCCCTAAACCCTCAAACCCAAAACCCTGAACCGTCCCCTAAACCCCTAAACCCTAAACCCTAAACCCTAAACCCTCAAACCCAAAACCCTGAACCGTCCCCTAAACCCTCGCCCTAAAGCCTAGCCTTGAACCTCAGGGGACTTAGGGGTATATCCCTGTCAAGGGACCCTAGGCACCCCCTAAACCCCCAAGTCCTTCAGGCAGTGCATGGCAGCGGCTTCGCGAGGATGGAGCTTCCCTGGGAGAAGCGCAGCCATGCCGGCTTTAAGGCCGGCTTCGACAGTGGTAATTAGGGTTCAGGGTTTAGGGTTTCGGGTTTCAGGGTTTGGGGTTCGGGTTTAGGGATTAGGGTTTCGGGTTTAGGGTTAAGGGTTAAGGGTTTAGGGTTTTGGGTTTCGGGCTAAGGGTTCCGGGTTTAGGGTTGAGTAGTAAGTACCTATGCTAACTATCTGTTTACCATGTCTTTAAAGGTCCTTCATGTTGTCCCTGAAACCTCTGAATCCTAAATCCTTGACCCGAGAAACCGTTAACCTGAAGAATACTATAGGTGCCTTTGTAATTACCTATACTATTCTGGGGTTTACGTATTAGATCTGCACCAAAACCCAACTCTAATTATTAAGGCCCCTATATGAGGGTACTCGAAGGATTCCTTTAACAAGTCATAGATAAGGGTACTAGAACGGTTCCTTTAAAGGAACATTATGATACTACAAGGGCTTTGAGGTTTAAGGATCAGGGTTTCGGGTTTAGGGTTGAGGGTCTCAGGGTGTGGTTTTTTTGGTGTGGGGTTTCGGGTTGAGAGTTTGCCTCTTCAATGGCGCCTGGGCGATAATATCTTGCGACAAGGTTGCGTCGAGGGCATGGGCAGGGCGCTGGGGGAGGGCCGGGGCTGCTACCCAGAACCCCCAACAGGATCATGGGACTTAGTAGGGTTCCTTTAAGGGCTCCTTTAAGGGATCCGTTAGGGTTTAGGTTTAGGGTTAGTGTTGAAGGTGTTCACCCTGGGTGGCCATACCCTGCAGCGAAGCTCACGCAGAATGTTTTCTATGGCTGGGCGCAGAGGCGACTCACGATCTCAACGAAGCAAAAAGAGAACCGACAAACCAACAAACGACCTGTACAGCTTTACAAGTTGTTGGTTACAGTACACATGGCTCAAGAGGCTTTCCTACGCAGCCTTCCCCTAAGCCAAAGGATACAGGAAACACACATGTACAAGCCTACCTGAAGGAAACTATACAAGTGCCGGCAATCCCTTCAAGCAGACTACACACCTGTCTAACCTGATACCTGGGCATGCAGTGAGAAGCATTTCAACACTCCTCCTTGCTAGAGCCGACAGGCAACTAGCACACACTGCACTATTTACAGCATGCCCTCTCCTGGGACCTCTAGCCTTGAACCTTGGCTTGCCCTGTGCCGTGGCGGTCTCTGCAAACACGGCACAAGTTGCGGGTAGTTAAGGGTGTATTACGCCTTAAACCCCAACAATTAGAATCTAGATGAACACAATCCCCGTGCGCAGTGAAGTAAAAGGGACCTTGGGGAAGTTCATACTGCGTGCGGATTTCGATCCTGGCAGGCATCGGATCTGGTGGGACTCCTGTGACTGGTTGGAAAGCAGGCTCACGATCCGTTTGAGTAGACTGCTCACGCACTGCAGGGCGGCGACGAGACTGTGTGGCCTTGGGCCGTGGTGCGGCAGGCAACTCGTGGGAGGACTGCGAAGGCACAGGTGCCCTCTCGTTGTGAGCTGTGGACTCACCTGCTGGTGGTCTGGAAGACACGTCCTCAAGACTCATGCCCTGCAGTTGGGCAGCAAGCTCATCCTCAACAGCTCTCTGCAAAGCTGCTTGGGGAACATCTGCCAAGAAAGGCGCGGCCTGCAACGCTAGTTGGGCTGAATTGGTAGATCCAAGGCTCACATAGTCCTGCATGTGATCCCACCAGCTCTTTGACATCAAGGCTTTGACAGCTCGGATGCGAGAGGTACCTTCGGCCACACTCGCCTCCAGAGACTTCAAGTCCTCTAGCCGCTTTTCTTCTAGCTTGCTGATTAGCACCAAGGCTTCTGATTCCATGATCTCTGGACACCCACCTTTAACCCTCAAGCGAAAGGCACGACCCGAAGGAGCAATCAAACGGCATCGCGAGGCAGTCCAATCCAAACGATACCCCAGCTGCTGGATGACAGAACCCAGCGGCACGATGGTTTGGGCACTAGATGTGGGAGGCAACAGAAGAGTACCAGCAGCAGACAAACGCATAGCCGAAGTCTCCTTTCCAGCCAGTGACACGACAACGGGTTGCGCACTAGCCCATTCAGCTTCGGAACTTGCAGCGCGAAGGGCATGAGTGGCCCCACTGTCTACCAAAGCCAAAAAACTAGGACTACCATCTACTTCCAAAACCTGCCCAGGCTCAATGGCTGTGAGATGGATGGTCTTAATGCTCGCTTTAGGCTCCTCCTGTGCTGCAGGTTTGTCTTCAATCGCCGGAGGCTGCGCGGGAGCGGCTGGGGTGGATGCAGGAGGAAAGGCTTCGGAAGAACTGGCAGCTGCAAACATCATGCGCATAAACGCTGTGAAGTCCTCCGCTCGGCCTGGGCTCGCGCCCGGCTGGATTGCAGTAGACGCCTGATCAGCCGTTGTAGGCCTGTGGCCTGCAGCATTGTTGGTGTTTCCTCCACCTGGCTGTCCTTTCCCCTTTGGGCTTCCTCCAGCTACCGGGCAGTCCTTTTGGCGGTGTGCCTCAGAGCCACATGCTAAGCACTTTTTGCTGCGCTCCTGACGAGAAAGTCCTGACATGTCGTGGCTAAACGTGCACTTAGGACCCCGCCTACACCCCGAAGTACCCATGAAAAACTTGCAGGGCTTTGAAGCCTGCGGCTGCCCACTGGCCTTTGGAGATGTTCCCGGACTGGGCGTGCCTACAGCTCGAACCTTAGGGGCACTCACACCTGTGGCCTTAGAGACTGCAAGGGCTTCCATCTCTGCAAGCAAGTGCTTGTGGTACTCCAGGACTGCAGACGAAGTTGGTTGAGCATCCATTTTTAACATGGAACGAAGCATAAACGTTCGAAACTTCGCTTCTTCATGCTGCGCCAAAACTTGGCTAGTGATGGTAGTGAGGCTCTTGGACAAAATGGTCGAGTCCGGAGGTGACATGTTGCAACTTTCACAGCGATTGTACCAACGAATCCACTCACGCAAAGACTTCACGGCTGAGGAGGGATCAGATGCTGGAGTGGGCTGCATGAGATTCTTCTGAATAACCTCCTTTTCTGAACCTCCACCTGGTTGGTACGTGGTGTGCAAACGGAAAAGGATGGAAGGAGCTGATTGATTGCATTTGCGGGCCACAATGTCTGCTTTGATAGACTCGGGAACTGCCGCCATAAGCATACTACAGATCCTAAAGTTGACACGCGCCCATCGCCCTTGAAGCAACTCAGCCGGAACAACGGGCTCAACCTTTAGCCTATCCAAGGGTGATGACGAAATCCAAACCCCATAGGCCGTATCAACCACACCCAAAACCTGACGCCACCACTCTGCTGCTGTGTCCGAAACATCACCGACCAAACCCCCAATCACGACTAACCAATCTTGGTACAGAAGAGACCCTTCATCCGAAGTGAGCTCTGCCAAAGCTGGGAAACTCGAGATGCCTGGCTTAACAGCTTCAGGGTTGGTGGGAGAATTGCCGCCATCGCGTTCGGCGCGAGATCCGTTGAGCATCTCTGACATGGCATCTTGAAGTTGATGCATCCCAGCAATCAGTATCTCACGATCTGTGGGTCCTGATGCACTCACGGCTCCTGCTGGCAGTGTGCCTCTGGGCTCTGCTTGTGGCCTCTGCGGTGCAGGGCTGGAAGACCGCGCACCGGAACCAAGGAGCCCTGAGAACAAACCAGCGAATCCCTGAGGCTCGGGAGCGGAAGGAGGCGGAGGAGGAGGCGGTGAGGATGAAGAAGGGGCAAATCCAACCCCAGTGCTGGCGACAGGATGCGAACCGAACCCACTATCACCAAACCCACTAAAGCCAACCTCCCTAGTACCCACCTGCTGCAACGCCGTAGCCTCAACTTCACCAGCCTGCTGAGACCGAATCCTCGAGAGTTCGGCCTCAGCACGACCAGCTCTCTCTTGCTCAGCTCGCAGTTGCTGCTTCAACCCATCAAGCTGTCGCGCGACTTCTGCCTGAATCGCATCATGCGGAATAGATGAGGACTCGGTGTGCGGAGGCCTGTCCGGAGACCCGGACCCGTAGAGCAAGGGAGCTCTTTGCTCCATGGCAGCAAGCTGCTGCGCGTTGGCACCAGTGAACAACGGCATCGGCACTTGACACTCATCTTGCAGGACGCGGCCTCCTCTCTCGAGGGGCTGTAGTGGTCGCGACGGCCTTGGAGGAGAAGTCAGTGGACTGGGAGCCCACCCTTGCGGCAGTGGCTGTACGTTCGCCGCGCCACCAAACAGAGACTGCACTCTTCCTAGCAACTGACTAGCAAAAGCCTGAGCCCCAGTCTGCATGACCGCTGACGCCCCGTACGCCGTTGATCTGGGCGTTTCAAAGCCCTCAGCACTACTTCCAGGATTCGCTGCAGATGGGTTGTACCCTGAGACGCCTGCGGCAACATTGATCTGAGCGCTAGCCATTCCACTTTCGGTGGCCACACTGAAACCCTGAGTCACTGCAGTTGCATCTCCATGTACCCCACTCGCATCAGCGACCTCCGTGGTAGATACTGCTTCATACGTAACGCCAGCTGTGCCCAAGCCTCCAACCTGGCCTAGTGTTCCATCGCCTCCTGTCCTACCGACTGCTGAAACTCTCGGTTGGCCGGCTGTTCCAACAGTTTCTTGTGGCAGCTGAGGGGATGGCACTGGACCAGCTGTGGAAGTCGATGGCCCCGACGACGCATCCATCATAGTTTGCTGGATTCCATCCCCAATAGGCTGCGCAAGCCCAGAGGGCGATGGCACTCCAACTCCGGCGGTTGTACCATTCACTGTAGTCTGCGGTGCATCCCCGCCTCCCCGCACTCCAGGCAGAGAGGCCGGAGAAGCCACCGCTCCGGTTGCTTCTGGCCCAGGCGTTGGGCTCATCACCTGTTGAAGGTGTTCACCCTGGGTGGCCATACCCTGCAGCGAAGCTCACGCAGAATGTTTTCTATGGCTGGGCGCAGAGGCGACTCACGATCTCAACGAAGCAACAAGAGAACCGACAAACCAACAAACGACCTGTACAGCTTTACAAGTTGTTGGTTACAGTACACATGGCTCAAGAGGCTTTCCTACGCAGCCTTCCCCTAAGCCAAAGGATACAGGAAACACACATGTACAAGCCTACCTGAAGGAAACTATACAAGTGCCGGCAATCCCTTCAAGCAGACTACACACCTGTCTAACCTGATACCTGGGCATGCAGTGAGAAGCATTTCAACAGTTAGGGTTTAGGGATCCAAAAGGGAAAGTAGATCCCCTAAGTTGGGGCCCTATGCTACTAAGGGTACTTTATAGGAACCCCGATTAAAGGATCTACCTTTTGGATTTTTCGGGGGTCTGGGTATGGAGGTCGAGGGGCTTAAGCGTCGCCCACCCACAGGAGGTGGGTGGCCTGTGCTTGGAGTTTATTATGGGTTTAAAGGGGTTCTTACGACAGTTGCAGGGCCTAGGATACAGGGTTTTTAACAGGGTTCCGACAACAGTTGCAGGGTTGAGCTTTTAGAGTTTGAAGGGGTTCTTACAACACTTACAGGGCTTAGGGTTTAGCGTCTAAGCAGGTTCTTACAACGGCCTTCGTAGTTCTTAGGGTTCCTGTTGACACGTATAGTTGAATTCTACTTGTCATGGTGCCTATCTTAAGATTTTTTTCATCTCATGCGCTTCCCCTCGACCCTAAACCCGATACCGCGGTTTGAAGCGTCTTGTGGGGAGGTTCACCGGCTTAAAAAGAGCTGGAAATTCGAACGTTGAGGGTTCTACAAGGGTTCACGGTTTGAGGGTTTAGGGTTGTTTAGGGTTTAGGGGTTTAGGTTGAGAGTTTAGAGTTTTAGGGTTTAAGGGTTTGAGGGTTTAGGGTGTGGAACCCCTTGCGGGTTTACGGCTCCAACTTCAGAACTCAAGAACAGAACTACAGGGGAACGGCTACCCTTATTGTTGAATGGAAGCTGGGGGAATCAGCTTCAAGCAGCTTAAACCCTAAACCCTGGATTCTTGATGCAAGAATAGCCCCCTTCCCAAAACCCTAAACCCAAGACCCTAAACCCTAAACCCTAAACCCCTTAACCCTAAACCCTTTCAAGGTGCCGGTCGAGGTGCGTTCCTCAAGAATCCCTGGTGCTGGCCTGGGCCGTTGCGAAGCAGCTTTACCCTCAACCCTAAGCCCTACTTGCAACCGAAAAGACGAACCTTTTCAGGGTTCCTTATTGCGGTTTCGGTATAAAGTTCTTGAAAAGGTAGGTCTTTTGGGCCGCAGGCAAGCCCTAAACAGTTTCTTGGGCTTCGGGTTGAAGGGTCCTTCTCACGTTGCCGGCACTCTGAGTCTCTAAGTACTGCTATTATACTACTACAGTTTTGGTCAGTACCCGCATATCCGGATTACAGGTGCGAGCACTGTATTGCGATATTTACGCATACTTTTGTCGTTGTTGCTATTGGAACTGCTGTAATTGCCATGACGAAACGTTTTAGAGCTGTTTTGAAGTTTTTTCTGAGATTTGGTAGAGGTTGTTGTTGTTGTTGCTTTGTAGTTTACCTTGATGGTTATTGTATAGAAACATACTATTCATCGAGCTTGGCTCCTCAACCCTAACCCCTAAACCCCAAACCCCAAACCTTAAACCCTGAATGGGGTTATAAGTCGGGTAACTACGGGTATAACCCCTTTTCGGGGACCTATAACTCCATTTAGAACTACCCATAACCTCCAAGCAAGCCCTCAACCTTATACCCTTATAGAACCCCTATAGATCCCTTTAAACGGACCCTTAAAGGAACCCTAATAACTACCCATGAACCTCCAAGTATGCAGCTTTCGAAGAGCATCCCAGGTTTCGTGACCGTGCCAGTGAAGGCAGGAACCGTGCTCCGTTCGGATACCTTGAACCTTGGCTTGAAGACTTACCTTTGGTTAGTAGGGAATGGAGGAATGGGGTACGATTATAGCTACTACCATTAATCCATTCCCTACTAACCAAAGGTAAGAAGAGCGGCTTAGTGCGTTTAGGATTCAGGGGTTTGGGCTCTGGGGCTTATGATCCAGCCTCAACCCTAATAACCCTAAACGCTGAACCCTAAAAGGGGAGATGTTTTAAGATCTCAGGATTTAGCTGAGTCCTTGGCTTTTGAGCTGCAAGTTTCATGCCGCGGGTTTAGGTTTTAGGGTTTGCGGAGAGAATTTTGAATATGAGTTAGGAGAACACGATCGATTTTGGAGAGCCTCCACGATCCCCTTAACCCTAAACCCTACTTGGAGCTTCATGGGCAGTAATAAGTGGAGTTATAAGCCCCCTAATGCGGACTATATCTATAGTTACCCTACTTTTAACCCACTTCTAACTCCCCATGAACCTCCAAGTGGTCCCTAGAATCCCTATAGATTCTTTTAAAGGGGCCCTTAAAGGAACCCCTATAGCTACCTGCCATCCCAGGATCAACTTCAGAGAGTATCTTCAAGGCCCCAAAGGCGAGAGGGCGGCCATCCATCTCCAGAGTGCGGAGGAGATTGAGGCTTCGCCACCCAGAGACTCCTTTAAGGGTTCCTTTAAAGGGATCAATATGAAGCCCTCTATGATTTAAGCCATATTCCTTAATTAAGGGGTATTGGGCTCTCTAGGTACTTATCCTTTAAGGGCTTAGGGTTTGGGGTTTAGGGCTTGTCCTTTTTCATGGTTCCCCCAAAAGAATTAATAAACAGACCGGCTAGTAGACCTTCTTAAATAATTCCTACTAAGGGATATAGGTATAGGGCTCTGTCTATTGTTGCTAAAAGGACAAGGGTGGAGGCCTCGCCACCCAGAGACTCCTCTAAGGGTTCCTTTAAAGGGATCTATAAGGGCTCATTTACGGGTTCCTATAAAGGGATCTATAGGGTATTAGGGTTTAGGGGGTTCCAATATCCCTTAATTAAGGAATATACTTTAAATCATAGTAGGATTTCGAATATGATTTCAGGAATACTCCTTCACCAAGGGATATTGGAGTCTCTTGGCAGTTTAGGGCGCAGGGTTCGGGGCGTAGGGGCTTGGAGTTTAGAGTTCAGGGTTCAGGGGTTTAGGGGTTTACGGCTTTTAGGGTTTAGGGGTTTCGGGGTTTAGGTCTAGATTGAGGCCTTGGCAGAGTACTTCTCCATCGGGAATGTTTCGACGGAGGTGCGCGAGAAGATGGTGGGGTTCATCGGCTCCATTGGCGCAGACCGTGCTCAGGGGACCCCTGTGTCTTTCGTACTGACGCATTCCTTTCATGTAAACCATGGCGACAATCCAAACTTCTATGACTTCGTGGAGAACGGTGTGTTGTACTACAAGACGATGCGTGACCTGGCGGCCGGCGAGGAACTGATCGTCAACTACAGGGCCATGGGAATGCCAGCTCATGTGAAAGAGTGGTGCTCGCGACGAGGATTGAGGGATGTGCAGACGGAGGCTGAGGAATGGAACAGCTAAGGACAGATGGCAGTTCCACCCAAGTTTTGACACTCACGTCGTTGAGGCGAACCTGGGTGTTTAGTAGCCTGACTCAAGCGAAGCTTTGTGTCAAGCGGGCGGTGCGCTTACTCATAGGTGGCCAAAAGGGGTTTTAGCCTATGGGGGTTTAGTAGGGATTAGGGTTCCCATTATTGGGGTTCATATTAAGGAATCCCTACCCCAAGAATCTTAAACCCTCTTTTGGCCTCCCATCATTTACGATTGTGCACCGTTTTCGGTTTTGTGCTCGGCACGACTTAATTTGCGCTCTGGCACAAGACCTGACTCCGGCAGCGCAAGATTCCTACTATAGGGGCCTTAATAATTACCTATACTATTTTGGGGGTTCCTTATTATAGCTGTAGTATAAGTGGGCCCCAAAACCCTTATTCTAATTATTAAGGCCCCTATATTAATCCTGTGCTTCATCGGTCAACCCACACATTCAAGGCGTATCACAAATGCCGAAGCTCAAAAAAAGCGCATTTTCCACGTGGAGTACCATGTTATGATGCCGCCTTGCACTACGTTCCATCCAAATCCTGTAAAACCCCAAAACCAGTATAAAGCCTGCTGAAGCCGGTTATGCAACCAAGGGACCTAGGATTTGATGGTTCAGGGCTTGGGGCGTGGCTCAAAGCAGGCGAAGTATCACGTAGTAAGAGGGGGTGTAGAGAGGGCTTGCAGGGCTACGTAGGATTTTTTTCAAATGAGGGTTTGCAGAGCTTGTGAGGGTTTATAAGGGTCTTAAAAGGTTAGGAGGCTCCTGCTGCTGCTGCAGAACCCCTGTATGGTAGTTTGATACGGGTCCCTTTCTTAGCGATGGGAATCGGGCTTCAATTTTTTTCTGAAATTACCGAACTTGTTAGCTTGACATGACTGTCGACTAGCTTGTGATGGCTGTGTGCTAAAAACCCACTTCAAAGCTTCAAGATAGCTCAATGAAGGCTTGTTTCTCTGCTTATAACATTCCGAGTCCCCTAATCCTAAACTCTGAAGCCTAAAGCCTAAACCCTTAAAGCAGGATCCTGCATCTTTGATAGCTCGGCTTGGAGAAAGGCGCCTATGCACTGTGACAGCCCCTCGTGATAAACTTAGTTGTCTGGAGCCACAGTGGCTTTCAACGTGTTCAAGACGACGAGCATCAATCATGTATGATCTGCTGCAACTCTGACGCTCGTTGCTCAGTGATTGACGTCGCTTTCTTAGAAACATCATAGCTCAAACGGGGACTGCGTCTAAACCATGCTTGAACGGATCCGAGCAAATCCTTTAGAGGCAATTCCGCCACCCTGATTAAGCCTTGAATCTGGAGAAAAGTGACACTTAGAGGGCTCCGAAGAACATTTGTATGGTTGTATTCATATCCGCTTAAAGTCCCCAGGTGACTCTGGCAGAACGTGCTCCAAAACCCTGTTCTACCCCCTAAGGTGCCTCTACCTGGGGATCCAAAGACCTACTGTTTCAGGGGTTAGACCTATAATTAGAGGGTCATAACCTACTATTTTGTAGGGTTTGGGGATACAGCTGCAGAAGCTTGCGGACGAAGCAGCTGATGGGAAAAACAGCGGCTTTTGTCGTCGTCTGTCCCCAGGCCCACGCGCTTCAAGTAAACCTCTGAACCCCTAAACTTCGCAACTAATCCCTAGACTCCTAAACCCCGAACTCCCTTGCTAAGGCCTTGAAGCCTTCAACCCTACGCCCTATACCCGCAGTCCTCGGCCGCAGGGGCTTTCCCCTAGATCTAGAAAGTAGATTATTTGGGCTCCCTAGTAGCTTAGTCCATTTGGCACAGGGCTTCCGAAGATAGCTAGATGGAACGGGCTTGTCTAGGTGGCACTTTGGGAAACCCTTAAAGTCCCCTTGAGACCCTGACACATCCCTATAAACCTTTGTGGAGACTCTTAAATGCATCCCGAAGAAAGCGTAGTAAACCCTAAACCCTAAAACCCTAAACCTGCTAAACCCTAAACCCTAAGACCCTAAACCTGCTAAACCTGAAACCCTAAACTCCTACTTTCTCAGTCTCCTTCTCCTCTACGTAAGGACTCCGGCCGGGTCCAGCCGCTGCATTCGATTTCAAGTAGAGGCCTTAATAAGTAGAACTTGGTTTCGGGTTTAGGGTTTAGGGTTTCCATTGTGGTGTTCCCATATGGGAACTACAAGGGTAGAGTACTACTACTAGTTATTCTGGAATCTGTCTTAGGGTTTACAGCTTAGCATTTGGTGTTGCGCAAGTAGCCCGGAAGCCGAAATCACAGCTGAGTTTCGTAGGCCTTCAACCGTACAGAGCTTGTCACCATCAGGTGCAGCATACCCAGAGAGCCCAATATTTCTGAATCAAGGAATATGCTGAAAGTACCTCGGACTAGAAGGGGCTTCATGTTATGATTCAAGATATATTCCCTAGTTAAGGGACATATTCCTGATGGGGTTTCCGGGTACCTGGGAGACAAGCAAAGCCTCATTAACCATTATAAAACCCTTCCTCAAAACCTTCTATACAGCCCTTTATAACAAAGAGCAGGGGGCAGGGGCACGCAGGGGCCTTGGTTCTCCTGACAAGACAAGCTGGGCCGCCCACCACTCTTGGCTCAAAGGCCGTACATGCTTAGGGTTCAAGATTTGTTCTTCAGAGTTTAGGTGGTGAAATGTAGTGCTAGGGCGTCAGGGAAGTAATATTACCTGTCATTCTCTTTAGTGCTATCCCTGTTGTTATGACGATGATGATGAGCTTTTGCACGCAGCCGGGTGGTAGTATCATTATTGTGAAGCTGCGGACGAGCAATTAGCTTGATTGCGGGAATACCATACATGCTTACGGGGTTCCCGATGATTTTCTTTTAATACTGCTATGCTTGTTGCGGCGGTGATTCTCCTATGAAAGCTTGTAGAGAATTGGTATTCTTTGTACTCTATGTCTTCTTGCTACAGTTGTAATCTAGGGGCCTTTTTAAGTGCCTATACTATTTTGGGAGTTCCCTATTATAAATACACCATAATATACCCCAAGACTTTTTTCTGATTAGTAAAGCCCCTACAGTAGTGCAGTTTCACTTGTCAGTTGCTGCCCAATTGCCTCGGCTAGCCATGGATCAGCAGGCTCCGGAACAGACGGAAGGCCATTTGCAAAGCCTCGGATGGTAGATCATGGTACCCTGATCGTCGTAACCAGGTAGTAGCAACCGTATAAGAGACGTATAGTAGTATCTTGCATAGTAGTAGTAGTAGTATAGTCATAACCGTACAGTAGCAATCTTGTAAGAAGAACATCATCGTAGCCTTATCGTAGTATAGTAGTAGCCTGAAAGTAACCCTACAAGCGCAATGTGGTAAGGGTTTCCCGAAACCCTGAACCCTAAACCCTCAACCTGAGCAATGGGGTTTGGGGTTGAGGGCCTAAGGTTAGGGTTTAGGGTTTAGGGTTTAGGGTTTAGGGTTTAGATAGAGGCTTTCCAGCACACGGCGCTTGTGCAGAGGAGCTTAGAGTCCGCTGCGTTGCCTGCTGCTGTAAGATTGGAGCCTACGCAAATATCCTTTAGAGGTTTAGGGTTCGGGGTTTAGGGTTTGGGATTTCGGGTTGGCTTTTAAGGACTCCAGACGATGTCGGAAAGGCTTTAGCAGGGTTCCATAACGGTGTATTACCTATATAGCACCACAATCTACGAGCAGTAGTGTGTATTCCTTGTTCTGGATAGTGCAGGGTAGTTTCCATCGGCAGCAAGCAGCGCTTTAACCAAAATGAGCTATTGCCGTAGTAGGGTACTTGTAACCTTACACATCGCCTCGAGCCCTACAAATGTCACACCTGTGCGCAATGTCTATTTCCATGACACCCTACCAAAAGCGGCCACGAAACGGACATCAGTGCAGCCCGAACAGTACGTCTCGAAGGTTTTCGGAGGTGCTTCCGAGGCGTCCTTCCAGCAAGACGATGCCTAAACCGTCGGCGTCTTCCAGTTCTTCAGTGCCTTTGTCGGAGCACACTCCAAGCAACGCCGACGAGGAAGACCAGATTGCTGTGTTCAAGGTCGTGTGTGGAAAGGTTGAGAAATATCTCCGTATAAATCTAGATGACACGAAGGATAGCATCATTGCCAAGTTCGGAGATGTGGGAGCCGACACCACCCTCATTGCTTGTATTCCGCATTGTACGCTTCAGATGAAGTTCAACTTCAAAAGCCTCAGGGAGAAGTATGAGCTGGACAGCGCTACCTTAAACCATGAAGTCCGGAAGCCTCCGAGCCTGAACCCCGAAGCATAGACAGAACCCCTTCAGACCAGGACCCTCCTTGTACCCTCAAATAGGGGCCTATATGGTCCCAAATAAGGGGCATTTAGGGTCTAATAGAGGGTAGATGGAGGGTCTAGGGAGACATCGTATTCTAAAGCCGTTATAAAACCCTTTATAAACCTGAGATTACCTTTCAGCGAACCCTCATAGAACCGTCCCTTCCAAAGCCCCCCCTTGAACCTCGTAGAGCCCGTAGCCTTGAGCCCTAAAACCCAAACCCTCGACCCCTATGGAACCCTTACCTGGAGGTGCATGGGTTGTTATAGATGGGTTATAAGTCCCCGAATATGGGTTATAAGCATAGTTACCCTACTTATCACCTCACTCAAAGCCCTAAACCCTAACCCTCTTTAGAGGATCAGGGGAGTTAGTAACTAGGGTTATAAGTAAGGTAACTATAGTTATATCTGCGTATAACCCTAATTAAGGTACTTATAACCCTACTTACTAGGTCCCAGGATCCTCTAAGTAAAAAAGGGCCCTAGGCCCCGAATCCTAAACCTCCAAGTAGAGAGAACCCCCCCTCTGAAGGCGAGGCAGCTGATCGACCCAGGGCGCTACTATCCCGGAAGAGGCGGATTGCAATTGGAGGGCCCGGTTTAGGTTTTAGGGTTTACGGATTTAGGGTTTTAGGGTTTAGGGGTTTAGGGTTTAGGGTTAAAGGTTTAGGATTTTAGGGCTTAGGGGTTAAGGGTTTCGGGTTTAGAGGTTAATGTAACGGTGGCTGTATGAGACGAATTCTATCAAGGGTTACTATAGGGATTAGCTTAACGGCTGCTATGCAATGAGAGCTCTACAAAGCGTTACTACAAGGGTTAGTATCAGGTCTACTGTATAGTACGGCTTCTGTAAAGGGTCACTAAAAGCTTGCAGCAGCAGTTGCTTCATGGGGTAGGGGGAGGGGGGTAGGGGACTATACTTCCGTAACTAGCCTTATTGAGTCCCTATTGTCGGTATTAAGGCCCCCACGCCCCTCCCCCTTACCACTCTAAGGGTCCTTATGAGTTGCTTGATCAGGAACGATGGCCTTTCGTCGTGGTTGCTACTGTCAGGGGGATGTAGAAGGCTTACTATACGGGCCTTAATCATGACCTATACTACATTGGGGGTTCCGGATCATGATTGTAGTATAATTGACCCCCCAAACCTGTCTTCCAATTATTAAGGCTCCTATATCATAGAGCCCTCATAGTCTCCCTTATAGTAACCCTAACCCTTATATAGCATATTTGTGGGGACCTTTTTGCTTCGCTGCCCCCGGGTGGCTTAAGAAGGTGCGGCCGTGAGCGCACGGGACGTGCATCCGACCCTCAAGTTGGGTTGGTTTCACGGTCTTCTGGCTCGGGCTTGAGGGTTTAGGGTTTAGGTTTCAGGGTTTAGGCCAAGTTTAGGGAGATCGATCTAGAAGAAGAGCTAGGCCAGGGTTTACATGTCACGAAAGGCGGGCCCGCAAGACACTGGCTGTAAAGACACTTCAGTTCGGAGGCAGCGTTAGGCACCCAGAGAGCCCGATACCTCATCATTCAGGCTTATGCATTTAATCATTGTAAGGATCTGTTTACGGTTTAAGGTGTATTTTTCGTTAAGAGGCATTGGGTGCTACGGTATGCCACTCGAGTTTTTATGGTCATTGAAGTGTTACGCCTTGGACCCTAAATCCTAAACCCTCATATCTCAATTCCGAGAAGCCATAATGTAGGAACCTGATTAAGAAACCCTGGGCCTATAACCCCAAAATAGTAGGAAACACAAAAGGAACCCGAAAAAATGCCCAAGGTTTCTTAATCAGGTTCTCACATTGCAACAAGTACCCTTATCGATCCCTTGTAGTAACCCTTATGGTACCCTTTAAAGGAACCCTTATAGTACCCTTTAAAGGAACCCTCACAGAGTTTGGGCTGTAGGTAGGGACTCCTATGCCCGACTGCGTAGTGGGATCCTTGATCCAATCGAAGGTTTTTGGGAGTTTCCGAAAATGGGGGACCCTAATATAGTACCCTAAATAGTGGGATCCTGATGATGAGAGCCCCAAAATAAGCTATCCCTATTTTCGGAAGCTCCCATACACCTTAACCTACCAGAACCTACTTTTTTGTAGGGTCCCTATAAATTTAAATTTGAATAAGAACCTACAAACAAGTAGGGTTTAGTAGGTCTAGGTACTTCTTTCAGAGCCAGTAGAAAAAAGCGTGGATAGAAAACGCAAAAAATCCTTTATAGAGCCGTTGCAACACGCCCTGAATAAACCCCAAACCCTAAACCCTAAACCCTAAACCCCTAAACCCTAAACCCGAAGCTCGTCTCAATGTTCGCAGGCCTCGCGCTGCGACCAGCCACGTCTCCTGGGACGAGGCTGGGCTTAGGGTTTGGGCCCTCTGGGAGTTTCCGAAAATAGGGGGCCCTGATCTAGTACGATACTAAATAGTAAGATCCTCATTATAAGCACACTGAAATATGGCGTTGGAGGCCCCCGAACACCAAGCCATGGAACCCTGAATACCCTAATCCCCTAAACCCTAAACCCTAAACCCCTAAACCCCTAAACCCCTAAACCCTAAACCCGAAACTGAACCCATAAAGCCCCGAGGCCCCTCAAGCCCAAACCGCCCATTCCCAGGCGAACTTGGCAGAACATGACAAGGAGCGGGGGACCAGGCCGTTTGCTGGTGGAATACTTGTTTGAATGAGGCTATACTATACTAGATCTGATTATGACCTAGTCTAATATAGCATGGTAGAATATACTGTGCTATAGTAGAGTTTCAACAGGTTCGATAGTATCTTTCATGCCCTTTAGAACAGAATATTGTATTGCACATCCCATTTTATTCGATGTGCAGTCTGTTTCATGCAATACTTCGTAGGTTGTCATATGAGCTGATCTTACTTGGGACCCAAACATCACATTTCCATAAGCATTTTTAGGGGGTCTCCCTGCCTCATTGGCCTTCCTTTTCAGGGGCTTTATATGGGATATCTCTACCCTTATTTTTGCTTATGTGCCTTTTTGGGGCCCTGCTTACACTATGTCTTCAGACTTGGCCATGTCATAGTATACGTACGTAAAACGTCAGTTAATTAAGTAAGCACGTGAACACATGAAAGAATACATACATCAGTAAACAGATAGATAAATAAACAAACGCGCGCACACACACACACACACACATATATATATATATATATGTAGATATGTAGATATATGTAGATACAAACATGTGCATGTATGTGCGAGTTTCTTGCTAAGATTCGCTATGTTATAATATCTTACCTGCTCTTTTCTTATCTAACTTCGCTTCGCCTCATCTTATCTTATCTTGTCTCATCCGGTCTATCTTATCATATTGTTTTATCTTGCTTTATGGCGCCAGATTCTATTTCAGCCTATCATTATTTTATTGTACCTTCTATTGTCGTGTCTGTATTTGACTTCATACTACACCATAATTTACTGCAATCTGATATATACAAGGTAAGATACAAGCAACCATACTAGAATTGATTATGTGATAGTTATGCTGTACTATACTACTCGATATGATCCTGCCTTGCCACCTTGTCTTACTGTTCTCGTCTCTTATCTTTAAACTTGCAGCTATCTTGCTTTATCATAATTCTTCTTCTCTTCTTCTCTTCTCTTATCTTGTCTGGTCCTATAGCATCTGGTGTGCTATCTTATACTTTATCATACTATCTTACAGTCGTTCATGCCCTTTTCCTCTATGTTATCTTGCAGCTACAATTTTTGTATTATCGAATAGTACAATATATTATGTGCTGCTATATCCCATTATGACATAACATAGCGGAGGTTTAGATGAGTCTAATGGGGTTCTGTTGCTGGGGGGGGGGTGGGTGCAGGGGTTTAAATCATAGCTCATAGGAATAGGGGAACGTGTCTTTCGCAGCGACGAGGACAGGCATAGTGGATGATCTTAGGGCAACAATCTTAAAACCCTCCGGTAGCTTCCTTTTGCGGGGGTTTTGGGCTTTGAGGGTTTGGGCTGTGGGGTTTAGGGCACATCATACAAGTTGGCTATTTTGTTGTTCAAGCTTATGGCTTTAAGGGGTTCCGAGGCTTTAACGGGTTCCGACCGTTACCGCTGCTCTGAGTTCGGGACTTTTCTTCGGGCTCTTGAGTGTGGAGGTCATGGACAAAACTGGTGGTTCCCATTCTACTTTCAGGCTGCCAATGAAAGGAACGACCAGCACAGCTGCTATCCCGAACCCTGGGCCGAATCGCGCATGGCACCCATCAGCGACCCGCAGAAAGCTCCTAAACCCTTAACCCAGAAGCCGTCGAAGGCAAAAGATCGAGGAACCCCCGACCCCTTTCGTGCACAGCCCGCCGCTCCTCTCTGAAGACGAGGCAGGTGTGTTCATTTGGGTAGTTGTCAATATTAGGATCCCTTTTTGGGTACCCCAAATATTAGGTGCCGTAGTATATTAGGGACCCAAAAAAGGACCATAATTTTGACAACCACCCATTTAAGTTTCTTTGTTTCTTAGGAGGTTACGGTTTTCAGGCTTTTCGTTGGGGAGGTTTAGGGCGTAAAGAACTTAAATCCTAAACTCCGAACCTGAAGCCCTAAACCAATACCGCGGAGTCAAGAGTTTGTAGACCCTGATTAGTCCACCGTTTTGCCGCCGAGGGATCGTATAGACAGGGCACTTCAACAAGGAGGGTTCATTTATCGGAGGTTTCTTTCACTATTCTGAGAGTTTAAGCTTTATATTTCCTTTGTATCCAATATTTTTCGTATATATAGGTGCACGTATAGCCGCTGTACGACCATACCAGGTACCTCACCGACATCGCATTGATATTAGAGAATTTTATCTAGTTGTTTCGGAATGCAGGGTTCAGGGCTTCGGGCGTTGCAGTCCCCAAATCCGGGCAACCCAGGTCGATCGTAGAGGTTCCAAGAAGTAGCCCCTGAAATGCCGAGGTCGTTATGCTTACGACCCAGAGACTCCAATACCCCTTAATTAAGGAATATACCTTAAATTATAGTAGGATCCCTAATATGATTTAAGGTATATTCCTTAATTAAGGGGTTTTGCAGGCTCTGGGTATGACGCACACCCCAAAACGTAAAACCCCATTCTGACTATCCAGTCCCGTATACTTAGCCTGTTACGGCTGAGGCTGAAAACCCAACCTAAGACGCTTTTTCAAGTTCCGTAGTTGGCACAATGCCTGTAATATGGAAACTTCGCTGGTAGCCGATGCACCTTAAATGCCACATGCCCGACGCTCTGAAACGCTTTAGGGCTCAAACCAGAAAAGACGGCTTACCCCTGAAGCCTGAGAAATGCAGCTCTGGGCCCGAAACCGTTAAGAAGGCCTCAAACCGCGAAACCATAAGTTTGGCCAGGCTGACAATCAGGGTTTAGGGTTTAGGGTTTAGGGTTTAGGGTTTAGGGTCAAAACAAAGTTGTGTGCTCGCTTGTCGGCCCTATGTCAAGGGTCGCAGGTTAAGAGTGCGTGGCTTCGCTGCGAGTTCAGGCGTTGTCTCCTGCCTGCGGTGATAAGCAGTACGTCTAGAGTCCCTCCCCCAGTCATGTTCCGCCCTCGACCCTAAACCCCGAACCCAGGCCGAAACCTTGAAGCCTATACCTAACTCGATATAAAACCCCAAACTGCAAACACTAAACCCTAAGTTCGACACCCCAACCCATAAATCCAAAACCCTAAACCCCAAATCCCAAACCTTAAATCGCAAACCTTAAACCTGAAATGCCAAACCTGCACTCCCAACCCTCAAAACAAGACCCCCAAAAGTACCAAACCCCAAAGCGCCAGAGATCTTGTCGCAAGAGGCCGAAGGAGCCACTGAGGCGCTACCCTTTTGGGCTTTCTGCTTTGGGTTTAGGGGTTTGGGGGTTTTAGGGGATTTAGGGGTTTAGGGGATTTGGGGGTTCAGGGGATTTAGCGGTTTGGGGGTTCAGGGTTTATTGGGTTTGGGGGTGTAGGGGTTCAGGGGTTTAGGGGTTTAGGGTTTAGTGGTTTTGGGATGCAGTTATTTTTTTGTTGAGAACGGCTCTTGTATGGACTTCAGTTTTTTGTATGAAGGTTCCATAAACCGCTCATCAGGGTTATAGGGGCTTTCAGAGTGCGTCAGGGGTGTTGTGCTTGTTCATTCTGCTTTTTCATTTTTTCAATCTGTGAAGGGTTTCAATGCTTTGGGTTTCAAGGTTCTTTCGGGTGTTTCGGACATTTAGAGTTCGGGCATCTGGGATCCCAGGCCGGCAGGAAGGCTAGAACCACGGGGACGTAACCGAACGCGGATAGAGTCTAGCTATACTTACCCCCTGAACGGAAGGGAAGCAGGATTCGGATGTGAGGCGCAGGGTTGTGGGTTTCGGGGCTTAGGGGCTAGATCCTCGCGTTGGCTTTCAGATTAATGGGACACCGAGAGTGATCATGTCGGTTCTTGTGCGAGATAGCCCCCCCAATCAAATTCCATCATACAAGTAGACTAGAAATAGTCGCAAGCTACAGAGATGGATTGATCAGGTGCCATTCTGTCGAACAACCTGAGTAGTAGGTGACGACTGCACGAATGAACGAAAGCTCGAAGCATCGCATACCGAGAGCTCAGCGCAAGCTGCGGTCACACGACGCTTTAAAAGATAGAAGGTACAAGTATGCATAGTCCGAAGGGACAGTGGTCATCTTTGCGAAGCGGAGTACTTACAGTTCATTGAACCTGTTATTCATATCTATTTTTCCGTGAGTTTATCCATTCGTCTATGAATCTGTCCATCTGCCAATCGGTTTGTCTGTCCGTCTGCCTGCCCGTCCCTCTATGTGTCGCTCTATCTGTCAGTCTATCAATCTATCTCCTTGCCTATCTGTATATCTATCGATCGATCTAACTATCTTTATCTATGTCGTCTGCGTGTCTATGTGTCTGTGTGTTTGTGTGTTTGTGTGTCTGTCTGTCTGACTGTCCGTCCGTCCGTCAGTTCATTCAGTCTGTCTGTTTGTCTTCGTCTGTCTATCTATCTATCTATCTGCCCGTCGGTCTGTCTGTCTGTCTGCCTGTCTGTCTGTCTGTCCATTTATCCACCTGACCTATCCATGCCTCTGCCTGTCTATTCATCTCTCTGCCTATCTATCTGTCTATCTACCTATCCGTCTACCTATCTGTCTACCTATCTGTCTGTATATCCATGTGCCCCAATTGCACCAGCTTGTGCCATTCATGCCCTATTTTTTGGAGGGATCCTTCTTGGAGGATGAACTTAGGAAGCAGGTTCTGCGTAGAGTATAAGTACCTGAATCGGGTTATCCCACTTGTAACCTTACTTCTCACCCACTTGCTAATCTCCCAAATCCTTCCGTAGTCCTGCTGAATGATGAATTAAGGAAACCCTTGTAGAAGCCTTACGGAATCCTCGTAAATGCCTGATCCAAAACCTTCAGAAAACAATCGCTTCTGAACCTTTATGAAGCCCAGAAAATCAAGCCACCCCGATGACCTAAACCCGAAAACCCCTAAACCCCCTAAACCCTAAAACCCCCTAAACCCTAAACCCCCTAAACCCTAAAACCCCCTAAACCCTAAACCCCCTAAACCCTAAGACCCCCTAAACCCTAAACCCTAAACCCTAAGACCCCGAACCCTAAACCCTAAAGCCTCCCAAAAGACTCTGGGCTGTTTGGATTGATCAGGAGACAGTGACAGAGGCACCCGCGCCGGGCACGATGAATGCCGAAGAGTCGGGGACCAGGATGATAATGATACGAGGGTTTTTTGGGTTTCAGGGTTTTAGGGGTTTTGATGGTTTAAGGTTTAGGGGTTTTAGGGGTTTTAGGGGTTTTGAGGGTTTAAGGTTTAGGGGTTCTAGGGGTTCTAGGGGTTTTAGGGGTTTTTGGTGTTTTTGGGGTTTAGGGGTTTTAGGGGTTTTAGGGTTTTTAGGGTTTAGGGTTTATGGGTTTTCGGGGTTTCAGGGTTCTTAGGGTTTTCAGGGTTTAGGGTTATGATAGTAGTAGATGGTAACGAGTACCGATGCTACTACTAGACTAGATGTCCTGATACTAATACGGATGATAGGAGTCAGCGATGTGGGTCGGAATCTGCAGCAATAGTATCCGCCTACCGTCGCCATTATATGTGTACGTATACAATATACACCCAACCCTTTCCATTTATACAACCTCCTTGCTTAGAAGGCGCTTAAAGGGGCTCTATACGCTTGTTACAGACCTGAGGCACCGCATTACCAGGTGGCAGCAGCAGCAGCAGCAGACAGACGTGACTGGCACCCAACCTAAACTCTAAACCCTAATCCCTAGACCCTAAACCCTAAACCCCTAAACCCTAAATCCCTAAACCCCTGGACTAAACCCTAAACCCCCCAGGCTTTCCAAGCGTCTGAAGCTCCTCGAAGAGGCATCGTTGGGCGGGCAAAGGGTCCGAAGCTTAGGAATCAGACCTTAGGGCTTTCTGTAGCGCTTTAGAAAAGTGTAAGACAGGGGCATGACAATCACATGAATAATTAGAATCGGGTGTTGGGGAGTAAGAAGTCCTGGAAGATATGTGGGTTTCCTGACTGGGTTTGGCTTCGTCAAGACGTCTTTTTCAGGAGTTGCAAGACACCCGCTGCCCCTGATCGAAGCCAAAGGCTTGCTGGTGATTTTTGTCATCTTGGAACCACCACCACTGCCACCTCCACCACCCCCACCACTCCCACCACTCCCACCACCCCCACCACCCCCACCACCCCCACCACCCCCACCAGCCCCACCACCCCCACCACCCCACCTCCACCACCACCGCCACCACCACCACCACAATATGCTGCATTCGGTCCTCTTCGTGCTGTTTAACTCATAGGCCACAAGCCCTCCCTCATCCTCCTCCTGCTCCTGGATTTCCTCGGCAGCCACATGCATACGTAGGGTCGTCAGTCGGAATCACCGCACCTGAGGTTGTGATTGAACAGCCCCACGCGACTTCGAAGCATGTGCAGAACACCCCAAATCGATTTAAATTCACAAAACCGCATTAAACGTCCTAATCCTCGCGAACTTTGTGAAAGCAACAGCCTTGATGTCAATCAAGCATCAAGCGAGCAGGTGGCTAACGAAGAGTCGAGGCATCGTTCGGTGTTAGGTCGATGAAGTGTTCGTGAGCAATCAGAAGACGAGGTTTTAGGATTTAACACTTGGGGTGTAAGGGATCCGGATGTTTGAACATTGCATGTCAAGGCTCTCTTTGTTTCGCTCTTTTTGCAGCTTTTGGCATTCGGACCTTTCCCGTGAGCTGACCATTGACAGCTAGAATCTTGAATCCTAAAGCCTGAACTTTCGGTCCTGAACGGTTTAGGTTTTGTTTAGGGTTGTACTTCCTGAGGTATACGGCTGACAGTTTTGCAAAGCAAGCCCAAGCTTAAACAACTCGTAATGTTTCACTCTTCCTGGCTTCCATGCTTCATGAGAATAGAATATGCCCCCAAGCATGTCTCGAATCATTACTTCAGCTCACAACCCCGAAACCCCAACCAAAAGCCCAAAGCCAGAAGCCCTGACGGGAGGGAGGACAGCATAGCCCCAAACCCTAAACTTTGGGGTTTAGGGTGTATCGTTTAGTCTTGCCGGTTTAGGGGTTCTGGGTTTAGGGGTTCAGGGTTAAGGATGAAGGGTGAAGGGCAATATTTGTTTTTTTCGGGTACCTGTTGTAATCCCTTTTCAAGGCAGAGGTTCATAAACCATTTACTTCTACTTTCCCGTGTTTGTCCCAACATGAGCATACTGTGTACCAAACCCATAAACCAGATTTCACGGTTTAGGGTTTAAGGTTTAGGGTTTAGGGTTTAGGGAAACCAGATTTGAACCCTTCAGATCTCTCATACTAGGTGCCAAGGTATCCTCAACCTTGCCATCAAGGGCCTTCTGGTGACCTACATCAACGAAAAAGCAGTTGCATCAGACACAAACAAGCAAAACACATATATGTAATACATGTATATATACACGTATATGTATTTGTATATATATATATATATATGTATATATATATATATGACGTACTAGAGTATGTATTTCGTATTGTGAAACGCTACCGACCTTCTTTAACCGAAACCCCAAACCCTAAACCCTAACCTTTAATCTTTAAACCCTAATCCCTAAACCCTCATCCCTAAACCCTAAACCCTAATCCCCAAACCCTAAACCCTTTATGTTGGAGAGAGGCCGACCTCGGCGCCCCAAAGCCCTGCCAAGTCAGTGCGGTCCGTGGCCTTCACTGACGGAGGTGTGGGGCTTTGGGGTTTCGGGTTCGGTGCTTGGGGTTTGTGGTTTGGGGTTCGGACTGTCGGGTTGGGTTTAGGGTTTGGCGTTCGGGGTTTACGGGGTTTGGGCCTTGGAGTTTACGGTGTTTATGGGGTTTGGGGTCTACTTGGAGGTTCATGGGTAGTTGTAAGTGGGGTTATAAGTCTCCTAACATGGGTTATAACTACAGCTACCTTACTCAGCCTTACTCATATCGCCAAGTATAACTCCCCATGAACCTCGAAGTAAGCTCTACACCCTATATCCTTATAGAATCCCTGATCCCTTTAAAGGTACCCATGAACCTCCAAGTAGGGTTTAAGGGTCTGGGCCTGGTAAGAAAAGAGGCCTTAATAATTGCCGATGCTGCGTATTTGGGGGGTTCCCTGATTACATGTATAGTATAATAGTATACTGGGCACCAAACCCCTGTTCTAATTATTAGAGGCCCCTGCATTATTTCGCTTACGTTTTAACTTGTTGTTCTCTCGCTCTCTCGCTCTCTCTCTCTCGCTCTCTCGTGTGCATGTGTGTTTCCGTGTTCGCATGTTTTGCTAATGCGATTGGGCGTTTTGATGTTGTTGGTAGGGGTAGGGCGTCCTTTTGATACGTTGATGATCTAATCCCGCATTACCCATAAGAAGGATTATACCACAGTTCCCATAGTTTAGGGTCCTTAAGGTAATGCAGGGTTTATATTTTCAACCGTACTTGGAGGTTCATGGGGAGTTATGAGTTTGTTTTTAAGTAAGGTAACTATAGTTACAACCCATATTAGGGGACTTGTAACTCCGTTTATAACTGCCAGGAACCCTAAATCCTATAGATCCCTTAAAGGAACCCTTAAAGGAAGCCCTATAACCCCACTTATAACACCCCATGAACCTCCAAGTAGTGGCCTCTCTCGCAGCCTAGCGCAGGCAGCCCGAAGCGCTCCTCGGAAGCTTTCAAGGCCTGCCTCCGGCGCCTTTCTTACCTTCCCAGACCCCCGAAAAAATCCAAAAAGTAGATCCCTTAATGGGGGGTTCCTATCAAGTACCCTTAGTAGTATAGGGCCCCAAGTTAGGGGATCTACTTTCCCTTATAGATCCCTAAACCCTATTCCTAAACCCTAAAGGATCCCTTAAAGGAGCCCTTAAAGGAACCCTACTAAGTCCCATGATCCTCCCGGGGGTCTGGGTTTGGATGGTAGGGAATGGAAGCTATTCGAACTATTCAGGCCCTATTACTATACCTTAAAGGGAACTCCCGAAAGTTGGAATTTGGTTTCAGGGTAGGATACCCTATAATTTACCATAAAGGGTTTAGGATAATCATATTCCAACTTTCTGGCTTTTACTTTATAGTAACCCTTGTAGAGCCCCTTTCCTGGGAATGGAATCATGCTAGTAATCTTTTGGGGGGGTGTTTGGGGCCTTCAAACCATGAACCCCAAGCCGTAAACCCTAATGTAGGAACCTGATTAAGAAACCCTGGGCCTATAACCCCCCAAATACTGGGAACCCCAAAATGAAGGCCCAAGGTTTCTTAATCAGGTTCCGACATTAGACCCTGAACCCTGAACTTACGGGTCTCGGAGTTCCGGCTGTTTCTTGTCGGTCGAGCACCGCGTCGTCAATTCGGGCCACTGAGCTTTACTTGGAGGTTCATGGGTAGCTATAAGTAGGGTTATAGGTAGCATAACTATACTTATAACCTATATATATATATATATATATATATATATATGGGGACTTATAACTCCATTCAAGTAGTCCCCAAGTCAGCGCTGTTCGGGACTGGCCCCAATCTCCACTTCAACCCTGAGCGCGAGGCCAAATCCACAAGCTGAAATCAAATCCCAAAGCTCAGGGCCTCAAGCCACGCCTACCCAGACCCCCGGCAGGATCATGGGACTTAGTAGGGTTCCTTTAAGGGCTCCTTTAAGGGATCCTTTAGGGTTTAGGAATAGGGTTTAGGGATCTATAAGGGAAAGTAGATCCCCTAATTTGGGGCCCTATACTACTAAGGGTACTTGACAGGAACCCCCTTCAAGGGATCTGTTTTTTGGATCCTCCAAAGGGGGGTCTGGGTAAACCCTAAAGACAGACATTTGAGTTTTGCCAACCTCTCGATGAAAAAGTCTTGAGACCTCAAAGTCAACTGAAGGTTGTGAGTATACGCCGTAAAACTAAGGTTGAGGGTTTAGGGTTTTCTGGAATTCAAGACGTTATATAGGGTCGGAATTATTTTCAATAGCATGCGCTTGTCTATAGAACTATAGTATTTATGCCAAAATTGTTTTAATCCTTGAGGTCCCTATGTGGGAGTTTCTGAAAACAGGTGACCCTGATATAGTACCGTAGGATCCTTACTATAAGGACTCCCCAAATAAGGTACCCCCAATTTTCCAAAACTGCCTTATATCATCAACCTAGACCCTAAAACCCTATGGATGCCGTAAAGGAACCCCTTAAAGGTACCCTCATAGGGAAACTCCCATGTCAAAGTGGTAAAGCCCCTGACCTGAACGAAGCCTTCGCGAACCGAACTTAACAAACAGGGTTTAGGGTTTAGGGGTTTAGGGGTTTAGGGTTTAGGGGTTTAGGGGTTTAGGGGTTTAAGGTTTCGGGTTTAGGGTTTATGGTTTCGGGCCTAAAGGCCCATTTTTTTCAACCCTGAAGCCCTGGATGCCCGGCCAAACCACCGAAGTTCCGCAGCCCCGGCCAAAGGCCAAGCGTGCTGCACACTACAACGAGTTCCGAGTCCTACAGGCCGGAGGACCACCAAATAATACGAGCAATTCTTGGCTTTTTCGTTCCTATTCATTACAGCTCTAGGTTTTATGGTTGGAGGGCTTCAATGGGGTTTGGTGATTTGGGGAAACGGTGACCGGCGTTTGTGTGTCAACGGGATTTTTCTAACTATATATAGAAACTCTACTAAGGAACCCCGAAAAGGTGAGTCTTTTCGGCAACAGGTAGGGTTTAGGTACCCAGAGCCTCCAAAACCCCTTAATTAAGGAATAGACCTTAAATTATAATAGGACCCCTTATATATGATTTAAGGTATATTCCTTAATTAAGGGGTTTTGGAGGCTCTGGGTATGCCTTAATCCCGGCCTCCTGAGGCCTTCAAGGCAGCTGCGGCCGGTGGGAAGAAAGTCCTGGCCTTGGCCCTCGGGTTTACGGCGCCTACAACACGGAACGGTTGATAATATAAATCCTAGGGTTCCTTTAAAGGGATCTATAGGTGTACCTTTAAGGGCTTCCTTTAAGGGATCCCTGAAAGGTTTAGGGTTTAGGGCTTAGGATATAAATCCTGCATTACCTTAAGGACCCACAACTATGGGAATTATGGTATATTCCTTATTATGGGTCATGCAGGATTTATATCATCAACAGAAGGGCTCCTATAACAGATTTTGTGAAGGTCTTCCGGTTCTGGTTTGATTAGACGATGACAGGACTTTGAGAAGGATTTTGTTTTTTTGGTGGAGTTTGACGGTTTTCGTTCAGGCTTTGCAGGGTTTGGAAGGGTGCGCATGCAGTCTTTCTATGCATAGAACCCGTGTACATACATACGCACATACATACATATACATACATACATACATGGGTTCAAACATACACACGTTCATACATTACATTACTCCATCCATCCATCCATCCATCCATCCATCCATCCATGCATGCATGCATGCATGCATGCATGCATGCATGCATCCATCCATCCATCCATCCATCCATCCATCCATCGGTCATACATGCGTTGTACATAGATGCATGCCTGCGGCGTACATACATACACACAAACATACATGCATGCATACATACACATACATAGATACATACCTGGGGCACACATATATACAGCGGTATACATACATGCATACATACATACGTATGCCTGCATGCATCCATACGTACATATATGGAGAGGTACAGTGAGTTCCTTAGCAAGAGCTAGCGAGTTGAGATTGGAGCCTACAGGACTTTACTAGAGTTTGGAGATTTGGGCTTTCAGGCTCTATGCTGATAGGCTACAGGGCTTATAGCCTTCAACGCACGCAAGCTCAGGGTCGGATTTGAACAGTTTTTTGCTGCAGGGTTTAGGTTGTTTTAGTGGGTTGACGGTTCATGTAGAAGCGTATGGTGAAAGTGTTATGTACGGCATGGTTCGTGGCCAGATGAAGGACCTTGCCACATAGCAAGTCGTCCGCAAAATGCGATTGTCATGCTTCAGGCTTTTTGCTTGCAGTACCCTCTTCGCATCTTCCCTCGAAAGTGGGTTTTCTCCAAGGAATCCGACGACGAATCCTCGGGATCCCAGAAGCGATGAGCGGCCAAAAGATGCCGTCAGAGTGTTGTAGTTCAGGATTTAGGGTTTACGGTTTATGGGTTTAGGGTAGTTTGCTGTAGAGTTTATTTTTGATATGGAGTTTTACTGCAGTGGGTAGTAGTAACCGTATCTTTCGTTATCCCTAACTCGTCGGATTTAGAGTATTATGTTTTAAGTACGGCCCCCATACAGCAAGAGTCTATAATAGGGCTACTATTAAGGTCCTAATATATCTATGCTATGAACATTATTCAACTATTACTGAGTGGGGGCCGTACCCAAATTATGTATCAGTTGCGGACTTGCATCTTGTTAACAGTCGGGCTTGAGCGTTTGGAGGCGCCGCTGTTGCGTTGTATCAATTAGAAGCTGCCCCCACCCTGTAATAGTGACTATAAGGAATATATTAGGGCCCTATTATATTCCTATTATACCACTATTACAGGGTGGGGGCAGCTTCTAATGTATCAATTGTTTTAGTTTTGTTGTGATCTTGAAAACGCCTGGGCTTATGTGTTTTCTTGAGTGTCGTTTTAGGGGGCTGTTGGGTTTTCGGGTTGCGGGTTTCAGCGTTTATGGGTTTGGGATTATAGATTGAGGGTTGTTGTTCAGGATTTCCGGGTCTAGGTTTCCGGGTTAGTGCATCATGGTGCTACTTAAAGGTTCATGGGACTTAGTAGCTAGGGTTATAATTACGGTAACTGTACTTATAACTGCTTATAACCCCAATTAAGGTACTTATAACCTGACTTACTAAGTCCCATGATCCTACAATTAGACCTGCTATACCCTGCCTCAGGGAGCCGGCGAGTGCTCCAGTGTGACAGGTAACTGAATACATTTTGGGGTAACATGGAGGCCAGGTTTCTTTACCAACGCGATTTTTAGGGGTTCCTTTTCATAGCTTTAGTATAATATACTCAACACCGCACTCTATTGACTAAGGCTGACTAAGGCCTTACGGGATAGAACGCTTATAGAAACCCTTCTAGCACCCTTCAAGGAGCACTTGAAAGGAACGCTAGCGCACTTACTAATGCCCTCCCTGTGCTACACTAGTCCCGCCAATGAAGGCTTTTACTATCGTTGTACAGTTTTCGATTTGCAGCACTCGAAATGAGGTGGTTTGCGCAGACATATTACAAGGGCTTTCGTAGTTAGAACGGGGTTCCTTTCAGGGTTTGGGTAAAAGGGTTCTATGAGGGATTTAGGGTCTAGGGTTAAGGGCCTAGGGTTCACAAAGATTAGAACAGGGTTCTGCGGTATATTAGGCAGAGTTATGACAAGGAGCCCTGAGAACTACTGTTGATGATATAAATCCTGCATTACCCTAAGGACCCTAAACTATGGTAATTATGGTATATTCCTAATTTTGGGTAATGCAGGATTTATATCATCAACCGTAGTATTCTTAATGTTCTAGGCTCGTATATCGGAACACTGAGGAATAGCATTAGTAGTTGTTCCGGCCCCTGTATTATATTTTATAGCCAGCTGCCAAGATTGCTAAAAGCAGTAAGAGTTTGGTTTCGCCATCCCCGTCTATGAGCGAGTTTTACATGCCTGCTTCAAGAGCACGTGGTGGAGAAGGACCCTCGTATAATTCCATATTACAACACCCTGGGTTTGGAGTACCATTTTTGAATACTTTTTTTGCTGCCTGTTCCTTAAAGGAGCCATTCTGAAATAGAAGTCTATACTTTTTTCTCCCTGATTACTTCAAAGTCCAGATGCTGACTCCTAAAGAGCATTATTGGCAAGTACCCCAGGCTCCTCTATCGACCCAAAATGTGGTGCTTAAGCGCCAGGGGCATAGGTTTCTATGTAGGGATCATCTCATGCCCTGTGCTACAGTTCTTTTTTTTAAGGAGCCCATCAGTGCAGGGCACTTTTCTGGGAGACATGGCTGTGCATGGTCAGGGGTTGAGGACTGAGGTTGGGGTGTACTTGGAGGATCATGGGGCTTAGCAAGTCAGGCTATAAGTATCTTAATTGGGGTTATAAGTAGTTATAAGTACAGTTACCCTAATTATAACCCTAGTTGCTAAGTCCCATGATCCTTTAAGTAGTGCCCTAAACCCTGAACACCAAGGGGTTTGTCTAATGTGCTTATCGGAGAAGCTGATTGTGGCCGCTGTTTCCTCAAAGGCTTTTGCCAAGCCGCTTCATTCCCAGCGGAAGGAGCCCACCATTATTCACATGCAATGGTATAGTAGATGCCTCAAAGAGTCTGCATCACATTCTGCAGACTTCTAGTGTGCATCACCCGCATGGCTTTCCTTATCATTGCTGCTCCTCGCATGAACTAGCTCGTGGGGACAACCAAACTTCAATCGGAGCTTGTGCCGTCGTGGCCGACGCCTGGCGACCGCACCCACCCCGCAAGAGCTGCTTGCGGCCTGGAGCACCCCAAGCCTCAACACCGTAAACCCTGATAGAACCCGTCTGAAAGCCTTCCGGAAGCCCTTATACAACCCTGAAAAAGCCGGAAGCCCTGGAAAACCATGGGTAACTCAGACAGCCATGCTCTGTTTGCCGATGGAGTCCGGCCAGGACCTCGGTTCATCCCAAGCTACGAGTAAATGTCGAGGCCTTCATAACTACCTATACTATTTTGGGGGCTCCTCATTATGCTTCTAGTGCAAAATCCGAAAGTATCCGCAAGTCGGAAGCTAAAATCTATTCAAGAAGCTCCAGCAGCTCTGAAAGCTCTGACTTTCAAGAACCTCTCTACCGTAGAAGCCGGAAACTTGGAACATCATTGGCCTTCATGCCCTTGAAGTAAAGTATAGGGAATCCCAGCATGGATCATCCTATATCTGTGTTCCAACTGTCTGGGGTTCACTATAAACCCTTTCTGAAACCCTGACAAGACCTTACAAATAATCTGGTCAGCATGAAGTAGATCACCACAGATCCCTATAAATCCTTTGACAAGGTAGTGCCAAGGTTCCTCAGAGTTTTCAGAAACCTATGCAGAGGCGCCTTGTGGATGAAGAGATCAGCGAGACCGAGGATGCGTCGGGATCCAAAAACAGGGACCTTCACAAACAGAATAGGGTTCCTTTAAGGGTCCTGTCAAAGGGTTCTATACGGGTTGCCATAATGGATATATTGGGTGTTTAACTTATTGGCCCTGAAAATGAAAATAGGTCTTTGGGATATATTGTACTATACCTTTACTATTATAATAGGTATAGTATAGCATAAACCCCAAACCTTAATTTACCGGTGGAAAATGGGGCTCAGACAAACCCTTAAATTTACGCCGTACGGTAACTTAATGAACCCTGAGGAATGGTACGGTTGATGGTATTAATCCTGCATTACCCATAATAAGGAATATGCCATAACTCCCATAGTTTTGGGTCCTTGAGGTAATGCAGGATTTATATCATCACCCGAAAGGATGTCAAGGGCTGACAGCACAGAGGAGTTGAAGCCATTGGGATCTCGCTTTGTTTTCTTAACACTCAGGGGCTTTGGGGCGTTTTCCACCAACAAAGTGGGGCTCAGTGTTTTTTTATGTCGAACTTCCAGGCTTTTAGAAGGTTGAGCTTGGTGGAAGAGTTTCTTTGAGTGTTCTAGATGTTTTGGCTTAAGCCGCCTCAGATTTTATAGCGTTGACATCAGAACTGTGGTTCTATGGCAGCTTGCGGGCTGTTTAAGGGTTTCTTCAAGGGTTTCAGTTGCAAGAGGCGCTAGGGTTCCGCAACTTATCTATATAATGTAGGAACCTGATTAAGAAACCCTGGGCCTATAACCGCAAAATAGTAGGATTCCTAACAAAGGCCCAAGGTTTCTCAATCAGGTTCCGCAACTTATCTATAAAAGGTCGACCCCACACCCTAGTCGGTTTAGGGTTTTGGGTTTAGGGGTTTCGGGGTTTAGGGTTTAGGGGTTTTGGGTTTAGGGACCTTCGAGCCTGTAGATATCAGGTGGTCTGCGCTCTCAACTTTGTGCTGATTGCACCGGGTCTACTACAGCTCATGCAGTGCTTCCGGGTGGGTATGCGACAGCGAGATAAATTGAAAGGCTGGTGTCTGTTCGTGCTGACTTAGCTTGTGTCATGGGTGCCGGGCCATAAAGGCCCAAACCCTAAACCCACAATTGATTAAACCCTAAAGCTAAACCGATTCTAAGCCAACTCCGTACAACCTACATAGACCCTGACAGCCGTTGTGGCAATTCATGAGACCCCCATAGACACCACTATAGAATCGTTATGGAGCCCTTATAGAGTCCCGTCACCTTCAAACCTGGAACGCTGCGCCGCGTCCAAGGTTTTGGTCATCCCTGTTCAGCGTGCCGCTGTCCGTGGAGGCACCCAGAGATTAGGGACCCAAAAAGGACATAAGATCATGAGCATTTTGTAGGCATATCCCTACCCTATTGGGATTCATTGTAAGGGTTTAGGGTTTAGGGTTTAGGATTTAGGGTTCAGGCTAGAGGGTTTAGGGTGTAGGGGGTTTATATGGGATCTCCCTATCCCAATTTTTGCTTTTGTGCTTGATTTGGGGGCCCTACAGAGAGACTTTGAGAGTCTCGCCGAGAAACCACGAAGCCGAAGCCCGCCAAAACCCTGACGGTTTAGGGTTTTGGGTTTTGGGGTTTGGGGTTTTGGGTTTAGGGTTTAGGGTTTAGGGTTTAGGGTTTAGGGTTTAGGGTTTAGGGTTTTGGGTTTTGGGTTTAGGGTTTAGGGTTTAGGGTTTAGGGTTATGCTAAACCCTAATATCTAGGCTTCAATAATTAGAACAGGGTTCCTTACAGGGTTCCTTACAGGGATCTATATGGGTTCTATAAGGAATAAACAAAAGTGGCCTTAATAATTAGACTAGGGTTTTGGGGCCCACTATACGAAAATTATAAGAAGGAAACCCCAAAATAGTATAGGTAACTGATTAAGGCCCCTTATATCATCCGAAACTCTAAACACCAAACTGGACACCCTGAACCGTGAGCGGCTCCTTGTGCATGATCCCCACGAAGTTCGAGGCATATCTCTGAAAGTTAGGGTTCTGGAAGAGATTGCGAAAGGGTCATATCCCTTGGTTACAGACTTTCTTATGAAGGACCTGACAACCCTAAACCATCCTAAACCCCTGGAGCTCTGAATCCTGATCCCTTCAATCGTAAAACCCCAAGACCTGGAGCCTTCAAGCCTTGGACCTAAACGTCAAACCCTCAGCACTAAAACCCGAACCCCTAACCCCTGAAAGCACCCTTGAAACATCCTTTAAAGGAGCCCTTCAGTAGCCTGCTACACACGCCCTAATGTAGCCCTAAATCCCATGCTCTTACACACGAAAGCCCTTATGGTACCTTCATGTAACCTCTTAAAGGAACCCCCTTTACATAATATAGTAGTAGCCAGAAAGTTGGAACATCATTGTCCTCATGCCCTTAAAGTAAAGTATAAGGGATCCCAGCACTAATCCTCCTAAAGCCATGTTCCAACTTCTGGCTTCTACAGTAACCTGTTACGGAACGCTTATGGTACTTTCTTTAACCCTCAGACTCCAAGTTCCAGCCTTTCTACCCCCTTACCTTCGACCCCCTAACCCCAGTTATAAGTTTTTTTTTAAGAGTCCCTTTGAAAGGGATCTATAGGGAATCTATTAGGGTATAGGGTTTAGGCCCTACTTGGAGGTTCATGGGGAGTTATAAGTGGGTTTATAAGTAGGGCAACTATAGTTATAATCCATGTGAAGGCACTTATAACACCACTTTTAACTACCCATGAACCTCCGAGTAACCCCTAAACCCCAAGTTCCTGGAGCGCTCTAAACCGCTCCTTAGATGCTAGCACTCGAAACCCAGACCCCCGGGAGGATCTAGAAAGTAGATCCCCTAACTTGGGGCCCTATACTACTAAGGGTACTTGATAGGAACCTCCCATTAAGGGATCTACTTTTTGGATCCTCCCGGGGGTCTGGGAACCCCAAAGCCCCTCCTTAATCCTAAACCCTAAACCCAGACCCTAAACCCTAAACCAAGAGACTCCAATATCCCTTCATTAAGGAATATACCTTAAATTATAGTTGGGACGTTTAAGGTATACTCCTAAGGGATAAAACAAATTATAGTAGGGAGATTTAAGGTATATTCCTAAGGGATAAAATACATTATAGTAGGGAGATTTAAGGCATATTCCTGAATTAAGGGATATTGGAGTCTCTGGGAACCCTAAACCTAAGCTTATATCCTAAATCCTGAACCCTAACCCCTAGACCCTAAACCCTAAACCCCAAAACCCTAAACCCTAAACCCCAAAACCCTAAACCCTAAACCCCTAAACCCCAAAACCCTAAACCCTAAACCCCAAAACCCTAAACCCTAAACCCTAAACCCCAAAACCCTAAACCCTAAACCCCAAAACCCTAAACCCTAATTGCCAGCGCTCGGAACCCCGAAGTCCCTGAATGCGCCCCAGGACAAGAGACTCCAAGACCCCTATAATTCAGGGTATATTCCTTAAATCATCTTAGGGATCCTACTATGATTTAGGGTATATTCCTTAAATCATATTGATCCTACTATGATTTAGGGTATATTCCTTGATTAAGGGACATTGGATTCTCTGAACTAGTTAGTTTATAGAGTTATAAGTACCATAACCCCAATTAGGATCCTTATTAAGGTACTTATAACTCTTTATACTAACTACTTACTAAGTCCCCCGACCCTCCAAGCAGGACATCTTCGAGGTCGTCGGCCCGGAGGCCGTGCGCAGCTTGCGGAAGAAGCGGCCGAAGAACCTCCAGGCCGAACGAAGCAGACCCCCCTTTTTTGGAGGATCCAAAGGGTTTAGGGTGTAGGGTTTAGGGATTAGGGTTCAGGGTTCAAGGTTTAGGGTTCAGGGTTCAAGGTTTAGGGTTCAGGGTTCAAGGTTTAGGGTTTAGGGTTTAGGATTAAGGACCTTGGAGGGACATTGGGCCTCCCAGACCCCCGGGAGGATCCAAAAAGCAGTTGATTTAATGGGGGTTCCTTTAGGCTTGCGTAGGGGTTCTAGTTTTAGTTTTCTAAAGGGTTACATAAGGGCACTATCAGGGTTCCTTTTGAGGCTAGTCTAAGGGTTGATTAACCTTGTTTAAGGGTGCCATAAGGGTTTGGGGGTCTAAGTCTTGAGGGATCAGGCGCTTAGGTTTTCCGTGTTTTGGAAGAGGGGTTGGGGTTTGGGGTGTGGGTTTAGCGTTCAGAGTCGGAACAGCTTACACGGGGTTTCTACGGGGGGTGTTATAGTGAATCTGGAACGGCCACTTCGGGGGTCCAATTAGCGTCTGGTCTTAAGGTTTGGTGTCAGAGCAACCTTCACCTTAAACACCTTAAAGCTTGAATCCCACTGCGTGTGTATGTTTTTCATGCAAGTGGAGTCTGGGGCTAACCTCAAACCTCAACCCTGAAAACCCCTTGCTAAATATGCACCCTAAACCCTCAAACCCAAAACCCAAAGCCCAAAACCCAAGACCCTAAACCCTAAACGTACATCCTGGGAGTTAGGATTAGGGGGATTCTTGGGGATAAAGACCCTCTGAATGAGGTCCCTTTTAAGAGAGCCAGAAGTAGGGTTCAGAAGGGGTACCCTTAAAGGGGTCTCTCAAATAATACTACCTACATCCTAAACCCTCAAACCCGTAAAGGAACCGTAAACGGAAGATTTCAAGTCGCCCTGCAAAGGAACCCTTAAACTTTGTCATAGTTGGGCAACATTTTGCATTTTTATGGGTACTTAAACCCAATAAGGAATAAAAAGGTGCATTTTTAATCCTATCCCAGCAATGAACTAGTAAAGGAACCCCGCAAGGAACTTTTCAAGGAGCCCTTAAAGGAGCCCTTCAAGGAGCCCTTCACAGGAGCCCTTTACAGGAAGCTTTAATCATAAGGATCCTTAAGGGGGCTAGGTGGGAGGGGGGTAGGGAGCTTTAATACCTATAACAAGGATTTAATAAGGTGCGTTTAAGGAAGTATAGTACCCCCCCCTAAGGGTCCCTATGACCTTTCAAGGAACCCCTGTAGATATCCCTTCAAAGGAACCCGTATATAGATCCCTTAAAGGACCCCTACAGATCCCTTTAAGGAACCCTTTTAGATCCCTTCAAAGGAACCCTTATAGATCCCTTAACGGAACCTTAGATCCCTTAAACGAAACCTACAGGTTCCCTTTAAAGGAATCCTCAAATAGATCCTTTAAAGGACCCCTATAGATCCCTTTAAAGGCACCATAGATCCCTTAAACGAAACCTACAGGTTCCCTTTAAAGGAATCCTTCTATAGATCCCCAAAAAAGGCCCCTATAGATCCCTTTAAAGGCATATAGGGATTCCTTTAAAGGATCTATAAGGGTTCCTTGAAAGGATCGATCAAGGTTCCCTTAAAGGAAGCCTCGAAGATTTCTCTCCGCCGCCTTGGGCTCGAAGCTTGAGCCTTCGCTGCGTTGCGACGCCGGCCGGGGAGCCCGGGTTTAGGGGGTTCAGCGTTTAGGGTTTAGGAGGTTTAGGGGTTTAGGGTTTAGGAGGTTTAGGCTTCAGGGTTTAGGTTTAGGAGGTTTAGGGGTTTTAGGGTTTTTGCAAGATGGCATCGGACGTCCCATGCGAGAAGAACGCAAGAGATTCCTAATTGATTCCATCAAATTACATCACCGCCTTCGCAGTCTGTGGCGTTGGCAGTACAAATTCCACACAACTTGTGGATTCACAACTGGCAAAGGGCAACTACGAAATACATTAGCTGGAGGCGAGCGACGGTTTTTGGGTTTAAGGGTTTTAGGGTTTAGGGTCCAGGGGTTTTAGGGTTTAGGGTTTAGGGGTTTTAGGGTTTAGGGTTTAGGGGTTTTAGGGTTTAGGGTTTAGGGGCTTCGGATTCTTTTTTTCTTGGGCCATTTGTTTCAGTCGTCTGTTCTTGTTTCTTCAAGGTCGGGGTTTCAGGCTTTCGTGTTTCCGGAGATTTTCTGTCTTTGGTTTATAGGGGTTTAGGGTTTAGGATTTAAGCTGCAAAAAAGGCTCCAACACGCTTTCAAGTAAGCAACATACCATACAATCCATATAAAGGGATCCTTGACGGCACTTAGGGCGTTTTCCTTAATTGAGGGGATTTGTTGAAGTTTTGGGTGGTCTCGGAAGGAGACAAGAAGGTTGCCTCTGGGGTTAAGAGGATTCTAGCAAGGCTTTGTACGCATGAATGGGGGCCTTTCGAATGCGATCAAGGTTTGTGGTACATATTATTGTAAACGTAAACAGGAAATAGACAAAGCAAAACTGAAGCTATAGCACACATAAACAAAAGCAAGTAAGCAAGTAAGTAAGTATTTAAATAAACAATTAAGTAAGTAAGTAAGCAAAGTAAGTAAGTAAGTAAGTAAGTACGTAATTAGTAAGTAAGTGAATGAACAAGCGCAGAGCTGAACCTTATCTATCTAACTTTATTTTAGACCTCTATCTTAAGTTAGGCTGTTTGTTTGTTGCATCTGTTCGGAATGAGGTTTTAGGGCTTTGGGTTTTGGGTTTGACCGGTTGGCGGTTTTTACACTTTGAACTTAGGGGTTGATGTTGAGTTTAGAGATTGGGGCTCGGTGTTCAGAGTCCAAGCACCTCGACCTAAACTCAGAATTCAAACTCTCGAAACAAGCATAGCATCAAAGGCACAGCTCAACATCCCACACCCCGAGGCCCCTATTCGCCCAAATCGAAACCACCTCAAAATACTATGCAACATCCCCTTATTATAGGGGTCTGAATAGTTCGTTATAGTCGCATCATGTAGGAACCTGATTAAGAAACCCTGGCCCTATAACCTGCAGTATATTGGGATTCATAAAAGGAACCCGAATAAGGACCCAGGGTTTCTTAGTCAGGTTTCTACCGTTAGCTGTTTCATATGTTAAGGCCCCTTTCTTAGGTCTGGGCATCACGGCGCAGCGGTAGAGACGCCATGGACCCCCCTGGCTTGGCGGCCGGGTGCCCAGGGCGCGACCTGCATGTGTCTTGTTTGGGTTTCGGGTTTAGGGTATTTGGGGTATTTGTTTAGTTTAGGGTTTGGGGTCTTTTTTGGCATGTTCTTCCTTTGCAAAGATACGCTTATCATAGCGACAAACATATGAACGCCATGAATTAACAGATCGATAATTAAAGAAAGATAATACGCATGTATATGTTTATGTTTCCGTTTCTGTATTTATGTTTAGCGCGTGCCAGCAATATGTGCGTGACATACATAGCTGTATGTAAATAGTATTTGTACATACATCTGTGTACACACACACACACACACACTCCATCGTCCCCACACCCACACCCACACCAACCCAACCCACACCAACCCACACCCACCTATACCCAACAACACCCACCCACCCACCACTCAAAACCAGGGTTGTGCTAGAGCCCCCGAAGAAGGGCCCGACAGATCAGACTCCAGGCCACAGTCTGGTACCCAGAGACTCCAATATCCCTTAATTAAGGAATAGACCTTAAATCATATTAGGGATCCTACTATACATTAGGGAATATTCCTTACTTAAGGGATATTGGAGTCTCTGGGTATCGAGCACCGTCTCTCTCCCTCTTCCCTAGGGAGGACAACTCTGCCCAAGAGCCCTGTAGCCCTAGACTCTGACCCCAAAAAGCCCTAAACCCCAAACCCTAAAAGCCTTATCGTGCACACCCGAATAGGGTGGGCTGGCGAGAAATCAAAAGTCCGATGCACTTTTTTTAAAAAAAAGCCTTACCGAACCCCTTTAGAAGCCCTACGAACTGTTAAAGAACCGTTTAAAGAACCCTCCAAGGAACCCTTTAAGGAACTCTTCAAGGTTGTCCCGAAGCCAAAGCCAAGGAACTCGCCAGCCCCTGGCATCCGTGGCGGTTCCATCTTCCGGTTGGGAAACTCAGGGAAGAGCCGTTAGTGGTTAGGGACCCAAAAAGGACATAAGCATACGTCATAAGCATTTTATAAAGATATCCCTACCTTATTGGGCTTCATTACATTGTGGTTTATGTGGGATATCCCTATCCTTGTTTTGGCTTATGTGTTGTTTTGGGTTCAGGATTGGGGTTCAGGGTTGTTGAGTTCGGCGTCTGCGATGCAGGGGCTTCTGGAGTTTAGTGTCTTGTCTCATATATACATGATCTTGATGTGTGTATACAGTGTTTTTCTATGTTGATCGGAAGTCTATAAGGTTACTCTCATGATGGCCGTTTTGGGGCCGCTCCTGAGAGCGATGTCGGAGAAGCAGGAGTTGTTGCACGACGGCCCGTGCAGGCCCTGGCAAGAGGCAAGCTGGCACATTATAGAGAACTCTTGGTCACTTTTTTGGACGTGGGTTTAGAATATATATGTGCGCCCTTGGCAGGGATCAGCGGCGGCGAGCCGCTTTGAGGCGCAGATCAGCAAGGCGGTGGCTGCGAGCGATGGGTTCTCGTCGGCCGCCGAGCAGTCGGCAGCCGCTCAAACTGTGCAAAAAAGAGGCCTGCATCGGCCGTGGCTGCTGGGCCAGTGAAGAAGAAGCCGGCCAAGCGCTGCTGCAGCAGTAGCAGCAGTTCGGGTTGGGGTTTAGGGTTTAGGGCTGGTTTAGGGTCCAAGGAGTTAGGGTTTAGGGCTTTAGGGCTTTTGGGTTTAGGGGTATGGGCTTAGGGTTGAGGATTTAGGGCTTGAGGGCTTTTTTGGTAGTAAGTATCCTCCTGCCTCCTGCGTTCAGACAAGGGTCCCCCATTATCTCCCTGGTGCTTAGTAGGGAATGGGGGAATGGATTATGGGGACTATTATTGGGGATTATATAGGGGCCACTATATGGATCCATTCCCCCATTCCCTACTAAGAACCAAACAGCCTACTAAGAACCCCAGACCCCTATAGTATAACCCTGGTAGCAACCCTTAAAGGAACCCCATTCCCTACTAAGAACCAGACAGTTATCCGGACCTCGACACAAATCTACACAAAATCACCCACACTCTTCGCCTTTCGTGGGGGGCTGCCTGGTGTGGTATCGTCTTTTCGGGTCCGGCATTATTCCTAAGGGGTTTATGGTTTAGAGTTCAGAGTTCGGGGTTTAGGGTTTAGGGTTTTAGGGTTCAGGGTTTAGGGTTTAGGGGGTAGTAGTGGGGAGACCCCTTTAAGGCGACCCTTCTTAACCCCACTTCTGGCTCTCGTAAAAGGGACCTTATTGAGAGGGTGCATAATATCCCCAGGTCCCCTCAATCCTAACTCCTGATTTTCCTCCCCTGTCTGGAGAGTGATCGCTGCCCCAAAATCGTGCTCGCTCTATGCATTTGCTTGCGACCCGCGTGTGCACCTCTTTTGGTGGTCTCGCGCACATCTTCCGGTACGAGTAATATTGGGGCCAATGCTATTTGGGGGTAACATACCTCACAACCCTATTCAAATTGTTAAGGCCTCTGTGGTATGCAGCCTTCGCTGGCAGAAGTAAATTTTAAAACCCTGTGCGATTCGGTTTAGGGTTTAGGGTTTTAGGGTTTTCGGGAGCCTACACAAAGCCCACACCCAAGAAGACCGGAACAACAAGGACCTCTCGCCGAATGGGCCGGAGGCACTGTTGTGATCAGGGTCTCAATACGGCGGTATCTCGAACTTAGGCCGCTATATTACAGAGTTTCCAGCCTCAGGGTGTCAGGTTTCGGTTTGCGAGGGCAAGGGTTTGGGGTTGAGGGGTTGAGTCACTTGTTTTGCATGAGGGTTTCGGGATTTGGGTTTTAGGGTTTGTGTACTGATCATGGGTGCAGCTGCAGGAAGCATCAACAAGGTTTGTTGCTGCAGCTTTTGCCTTAAACCCTATACCCCAAACCCCAAATGCCTGAACCCAAAACCCTATATCCCAAACCCTATATGAATCCCTAAATCCCTGGGCCCTAAACCCTAAAGCCTAAATCTCTAAATCCCTGGGCCCTAAACCCTAAACCCTAAATCCCTAGATCCCCGGGCCCTAAACCCTAATCCCTGAACCCTAAACCCCTGGACTGATGTATTTTTTTGGATGCCCCGACAAATTAAGGTGCGGTTTTGGGATTTGTCAGACTATAAGGGCGTAGGGACTACATGGGAAGGCGATGGCCAATGAGTCAGACCCTGTCAGCCCCGAGCCGAAACTCAGTTTATGTCCCACCAGAAACTTCTCAAATTTCGGGCAAAGTTCTTGCCCGTGCAGCCCCGTAGCTACTGCCAGGTCAATCCTATGGCGCCGCGCCGGGGGCCAAGCGAGAGAGAGTGAGAGAGAGAGAGTGAGTTGTCTGTGCATACGCTTGCACATACATACAAACACCATACACACAGACTTTGTGCACCAACATGTAGACAAACGTACATATTTACCCACATTTGTACATGCATATTGCCGACCGTCATACGACACACATACGCACACGCACACGTGCATGTGGTGCATGCGAACACGCGAGCGCATGTGTGTCTGTGTGTGTTTCTCTGTGTGTGCACATGTGAGTGTGTCTGTGTGTATATGTGTGTATGAACATGTATATGTGTACATCTATATACTTGTGTATGTATATATATATATATATATATATATGTATATATATTTTTTGTATGTGTATGTATCTGTATGGATGTGTATGGGTATATGTATGTGTATGTGTATATGTATATGTCTATGGATATGTATAGGTATAGGTATATGTATATGTAGATATGTGTATACATGTATATATATATATATATATATATATGTATGTATATGTAAATATACATATACATATATTTATATATAGATATGTGTACATGTGTGTGTATATATACGTATATATGTATGTGTGTATATATGTAAAAATGTATGTAAATACGTGTACACACACACACACACACTTTCAAGCGTGGAACTGCATACATGCGTGCATGCATGCATGTCTACACAATACATACATGCATTCAACAACACATACGTGCACACATACAGACATGTGTGCAGATTTGTGCATAATCAGTGGATGATGTGCGCTCTATGACTGGCTTGGGACTTCAGGCGGCTCTGCGTACAGGACGAAGCATTTTCTTGCACGTGACTCTGTACTATGTAAGTTTAGGTTTTCCTCCGATTAAAGTAATTCTTAGCTGCATTGAAAGCAAAGGTTCCTCTTCCCTCCGAACGTCTTTTTGGGGATTCATGGGTCAGAGTTTGGGCAGCAGGCATGGCGAAAGGGGGATGTTTGGAAGCGTTGAGGTTCAAAAGTGTACAGCTTCCCAAGTGAACTAACATCGAAAACCAAAAGCCCCCAATCAAAGAGAATACAAGTAACAGAAGTGCCCTTAGTTGCAAGGGGTCCCCTAGGAAACCCGTAACAGCCATCGATAACCTTGACAAAGCCGTACTTTCTGAGGGGATACGAGGGAGCCAAGAAATCGATCCATCCAAGGTCCGCCGGCTCCTTTTGCTGAGGACCTTCGTCTGCCGGTGTATCGTGTGGGTGATGTGGGAAGTTGTGCTAGATTAGAAACTGTGGGTGGTGTCCTTATTTTTTGCGATCTTTTCTTGTGGGGGGGGTGGATGAATCATGGCGTTTGGAGGGTAGCTAGGTTTTTTTTGGTAGTGTGTTGTAAGGTCCCGCACGACGTGGGGATTGTTCTATTTTAGTATTTAGAGCCCGGGTTTGGAAGCCCTAAAACCTTGGACCCAAGTTAAAACTCGAAGCCCTAAATCCTTAAACCCGAAACCTTCACACGGTACACCCGTAAATCTTAAAGTGAGAGCCAGAGATCGCAGCTTACAATGAAAATGAAGAGCATATCTCACATCATGAGAATGATTGGGGGTATGTTCCTTCGGTGAGCGGTACGCTGGTAAGCCGTGCGCCGGTGGACTCCTTAAACTTACCAAAACATCATACCGTCAGACAGCCTTTAAAACCTTAGAACACCGGAAATCGTGTCAAGCTATGTAAGCCCAATAGAAGGCGTTTGGAGCAGTCTGATACAGCATTGTAACCTTAAACTCGGGACTCCTTCTCTAAGGTTATCTGTGTTCCTGCTTATACTATCGTTATTGGTATAATTGCGATCATTGTTACGCAATTGTTACCATTATTACCACTACTACCCTTTGTTGTTTATACTTTTACTGCAATCTCATTCTTACGGTAATTAACCCTGAACCCCAAGCCCTGAACCCTTGAACCCTTGAATACTCGGACTTTTAAAACCCAAACTCCAAAACCCCTGCACCCTAAACCCTATAGCCTAACGCTGGACCTCTAAACCCAAAGCCCCAAAACTAAACCTCCAAACCTAAACTGATAATGATAGTACCAAAAACAAAGCAAAATGAACGTAGAATAACATGAGTCAGAACATCCATAGTAATAATAGCAATAACTTCAGTAGCAACAGCAGAACTGCCCAGAATATGAACAATAATCGTAGCAGTAGTAGTACTAGCAATCCTACTACTACTACTACTACTACTACTACTACTACTACTACTCCCACAACCACCACCACGACTACGACGACTACTACTACTACTACTACTACTACTACAGCAACAACAACAACTACTACTGCTACTACTACTCCTATTACTACCGCTACTGCTACTGCTACTGCTACTACTACGACTGCTACTCCTGCTGCTGCTGCTACTACTACTACTACTACGACTACTACGACGACTACTACTACTACTACTGCTGCTAATACAATTACTACTACTAGTAATGCGGTTATGCTACTACTAATAGTAACCATGATGGTAAAAGCAGCAACAAACAATAATAATGGCAGTACAAATATGGGAGTTCCGCAAAATTAGAGGTGCCTGATTTTGGGGTTCTTTATAATAAGGATCCTACTATCTGGGGTACTATATTAGGGTCCCCTACTTTCGGAAACTCCCATATAACTAATAACATCAGCAAATATAACTAAACCCTAAACCCTAAACCCTAAACCTATCGGTTTGGTGTCAGGCCCGGGCTCGTCTCGCTCAGGTGCCTGCCGTAGGTGCGCCGATGGGGTTCAGTTCATAAAGGGGATTACTTGGAGGTTCATGGGGGGTTATAAGGGTCCCTTTAAGGGTCCCTTTAAAGGGATCTACAGGGAACCTGGAAGGGTATAGGGTTTAGGGCCTACTTGGAGGTTCATGGGGAGACCTCCAAGTACAGTTATGGTTTCTGGTCGTAGTAGCTAGTTGCGTTTCAGGGTTTAGGGCTTGGGGTTTAGGGGTTAGAAGTCAGGTTTTGGTTTTTAAGGCTTGGGGCTGGGGTTCAGGGTTCGGGGGTTGGGAGGCGCATGAATAACCAGTAGAGGACCAAAACTTCTAAACTGCTTAAGGATCCTTATTGTGATTTCCTCCTTGAATCGCTTTGCCGATGATGGGGATCCGACTTATTGTATTTTTTGGGTAAGGTTTTTGTAAAGGTTTTATTTGAGTTTGAAGGGTTTTCCATTCTATTGATAGGGGTGTCTTGGATCCTTCTCATTTGGTGAGGTTCGTGTGGCCTTAAGGAAAATGGGTTGGGTTTAGGGACATATCGTAATGAAAAGATAGGGGGGGTCATGGGGCGGGGGAAATGATGAACCTCAAATCTCAAAGCGCCAACCTGAGCTTTCCTTGAAGCATCGTACTCTCGCTATGCAGTGGCCACAGCTTTTTTGGGTTTGTAGTTGTCCTCGAGGGCTTGGAAGCGCCTTCTACAACGGTTTTGTTTGAGGATCCTACACAGGTGTGGGGTGCTCCGAGAGCAAAATCCTTGCACTAGAAGTATGTGAGAAGATTGTTTCGATATTCCTGTGCTGCTCAAGATGATGGTTGCTCTCGAATGTTTCTGCTCTTGCTGCTCTTATTATAACTTTTGTTTGTTCGCAGACTGCCTAATACCCCTCAGTCAGCTATACTCTAGCTTACCACCGGGCGATCCTGCATGCAATTGTGTGAAGATTCTGAATTAGGGGGTGAACTGGGCTTCTGAGTGAAATCCCAAAGCCCCAAAACCCTAAAGCCATAAACCCGTAACGCCCACATAAGCCTCACGATCCCGAACCCTAAACACCACTGAAGCCCGAAAGCCCCTTACACCCTTCAGCCCGAATGCCCTGAAGCTTCAAAATGAACGCCTGGATGTTTATCAACACTATGACTATTCTTTCTATCAGAACCATGCTTTACTCTGCGTTCAATGCCCAGTCCTGCTTGCAAACGCCCCTTAAGTTGAACACTCTCCTTGGAGGTTCATGGGTAGTTATAAGTGGGGTTGTAAGTCCCTTAATATGGGTTAAAAGTATAGCTACCTTACTTGTAACTCCACGTATAACTCCCCATAAACCTCCAAGTAGTCCCTAAACCCTATACCCCTTATAGAATCCCTATAGATCCCTTTAAAGGGACCCTTAAAGGAACCCTTAAAGGAACCCTTATAACTACCCATGTTCCTTCGTGTCCGATGAAAGATCTGCCGCCTGAGGCGTTGTGGGAGCGCCTGTGGGAGGTGCGTCCTGGGTTGTTGTGAGTTCCATAGGGCTTACGGTTTGGGGTTCGGGAGATTTAGAGTTTAGGGTTCGGGAGATTTAGTTAGGGTTTCGGGTTTAGGGTTCGGGAGATTTAGAGTTTAGGGTTTCGGAGATTTAGGGTTTAGGGTTTGTGAGATTTAGGGTTTCGGGTTTAGGCTTGGGGGATTCAGGGTTTAGGGTTTCAGGTTTAGGGTTTAGGGGCTCGGACTTACTGTAGGAGGAGGGGCTATAAGTAAGCTCTAAGGATTTAGGGTTTTTAGGGTTTTGGGTCTCGCGTTTTTTGCAGGGTTTTAGGGCCCAAGGGACTGCATGGGACTTCATTTGACAGGTTTCTGAAGTAGAGTGATAAGCACCCTAACAGGGATTGCTTGGAGGTTCATGGGTAGTTATAAGTCTGGTTATAAGTACCATAATATAGGCTATAACTAACTAGAACTACCTTACTTATAACCCGACTTATAGTTCCCATGAACCTCCAAGTAGGCCCTAATCCCTAAACCCTTATAGATTCCATATGGATGCTCTCAAAGAGACCTTTAAAGGAACCCTGATATTTTGCAAGTATATGAACTGTCAGAGATTGTGTGGGTTAATTCAGATCGGGCTGGATAGTATGTCGGGGTTTACGCCGTAGGTTTTTGGCTGAACAGGTTGGGGTTCAGGTTTTGGGGCTTGTAGTGTTGGTTAGCAGAGGTTGGACACCCTGAAACCTAAGCTTTAACCCTTTACCTGAAAGCGGTCTAAGCACATTCCTCGCAATCTCGAACCTGTTAACTCAACAGAACTCAATCCTTCTGGGCTTCTGGTTGCAGTTTAGGCTCCGGTGGGGCAGGCCTCTCTGGTACGCCGGGAGGCAGTGCAAGGAGAATAGTGATGTGACCAGTGCCCCAAACCACAAAATCCTGAGTTCCTAAAGCCCTGAAGCCACCTGAACCTACTTTTGTGTAGAGCCCCTATAAACTCCAGATTAGGGTTTATAATCAGAACCTACAAAAAAGTAGAGGTTTGGTTGTTTACGGTAGACCCCACATGCAACAAGACACCAGCTTCATCCTTGGCCTACTTGGAGGGTCGGGGGACTTAGTAAGTAGGTAGTAAGTAGACTTTTAAGTACCCTAAAAGGGGACCCAAATTGGGGTTATGATACTTATAAGTCCCTAAAACAGCCAGTTACGAAGTCCCCTAAACCCTAAACCCTTACAGAATCCCTATAGATCCCTTTAAAGGACCCCTTTAAAGGACCCCCTTATAGTTACTAAGTCCCCTAAAGACCCTCCCAAGTAGAGCCCGAAGGCGCTTGGTGGACAGAATCCTCCGCTGCCTGAACTGCCTAAACTATAGGGGTTTAGGGGTTTAGGGTTTAGGGTTTAGGGGTTAAGGGGTTTTGGGTTTAGGGTTAGGGCGTAGGGTTAGGGTCTAGGGTTTGGGGTATGTTTCCTTTTATTTGGGTGAGCTGCCTAAACTATACGGGTGGCTGTCAAAATTCGGGTTCCTTTTTGGGGTAACCTAAATAATGGGCGCCGCACTATAGTAGGGACCAAAAAAGGGACCACAATTTTGACAACCACCTCTACGAGGTATGGAATTGTCAATACTATTATACTATTCATCATAACTTTGAACATCAAAACCCACAACCCAGCAAAGCCCTTAAAGCCCTAAGAACCCTATGACACCCTTAGAACCCAAGCCTAAACCTTAAACCCCTAAACCCAGAGCCCGAAACCCAAACCCAAAACCAAACACCGCAACCCAAAACCCACAACCCTACACCCCTAAACTCAAAAGCCGAAGCCCAGAAACCCTAAATCCTTGTCACACCCTAAACCCCCGAAACCCTAAACCCGGGTTGCTTTACTTTCTAAGCCATTTGAAATGGGCTGTGCCTCTTTCTGAGTGCAAGCCCAAATCGGGCAGGGAGTCAGCAGTGCGAAAGCCCCAATGCACCCTTACTTACCTTTGGTTAGTAGGGAATGGAAGAATGGTAGTAATAGTAGTTATAATTCTACCCCATTCCTCCACTCCCTACTAACCAAAGGTAAGGTAAAAAAAAACCCGAAACCCGAACGCCCTAAGAGCCCGAGTCTGAGAGGCCGCGATCTGGGAGAGGTCAATGTGCTCGGGCCCCGAGGGCCGCCCAACGCCTCAAGGAATCTGACTTGTGGGGTTCCTTAGGGGTTTAGGGTTTAGGGTTAGGGGGGGTTAGGGTTTAGGGTTTAAGGAATCTGACTTGTGGGGGTTCCTTACGGGTTTAGGGTTTAGGATTCAGGGTTTAGGGTGGTTGAGGGTTTAGGGTTTAGGGGGGTTCAGGGTTTAGGGGGCTTTAGGGTTTAGGGCTTAAGGAATCTGCCTTGTCGTTTTCCTTGTTATGATAGGGTTCCTTTAATGGTTCCTTTAAAGGGGTTCCATGAGGGATTTCGGCTTTAGGGCTAAGTCTAGGGGCCTCTAAAGGAAGCTGCCTTGTGGGGTTCCTTTAAAGGGGGATTTAGGATGAACTGAAAGATTCGGAGATGAAGCGAAGCAGATCCAGCTAAAAGCAGAGTCGGGGAGACCCGAGAATTTTGAAACTGATGGGGGTTCAGGTTTTAATGCTTAAGGGGTTTGATATGATCACTGATGGCGTCGGAAGTCAGGACATTCAGACGAGAGCTCTAATGCCACCCCATCAGCAGCCGCCTAGCCACGTGCTACTTAAAGGTTCAGGGCACTTAGTAACTAGGGTAATAATCAGGGTAACTGTACCTATAACTACTTATAACCCCAATTAAGGTACTTATAACCTCACTTACTAAGTCCCATAATCCTCCAAGTAGCCGAGACCGAAAAGCAGAACCTGAACGTTCCGAGAAGGAGCCATCCACTCAGAATCCAAGAAGCGTTGAACTAAGATCCGAAGGTATGGTAGGATCCTTCTTAGAAGCTACCCGAAAAGGTAACCCCAACTCCCAAAACCCTGACCCTTGAAACGGTGAGACTCTAAACCCTAAGACACCAAAACTTAGGCCCTGTGTGCTCCTGTCCTGCTGCTTAGCATACTCCCAAAGTGGCTTGCCAGATTCCGGGTGGAAACCGGAGCTTTTGCATCCTCCGGACGCTTGCGATCGTCGGCTGGACTTCGAGCCAAACTGGCTCTCCGCTGCGATGCAGAAGTCAGGCATGACCCCGTATGTGCCAGACATGAGAGTTCCGCCGGCCCTGGTTTTCGTTGGCGCCCTGTTTCTCGGGACGATGTGGTGCATGGCGTGCCCGGCGACGCGTCATCACAACATCTAGAACGCCGAGTATCCCAGTTGGTGCATTGCAATGTGTTGGAGTTATCTTACATTCAGGTCAGTATGCTGTCTTGGAGGGGCACGAGCACCGGCTAAGCCGCTTGAGCAAACCCAAACGTGCATAGCAGAATCAGCATAAGCCACAAGCCCATGAAGGACTCTTGCCATAGCAGTTACCCCAGTATTCAAAACCCTAAACCCGAAGTACCAAACCTCAACCCCTGCAATCTCAAGCCACGAACCTTAAGCCCCAGAACCTAAAGCACTAAACCCTAGGGCCCATCAGCCCTGAACCCGAACAGCCCTCTTCGAGCCCTTTTGCAGTCCTCAAAGACTCCTGGCCGGGCCAACAAACCTTAAAGAGCCTTAAAGGGAACTCCAGAAAGTTGGAATATGGTTTCGGGGTAGGATACCCTATAATTTACCATAAAGGGTTTAGGATAATCATATTCCAACTTTCTGGCTTTTACTTTAAACCCCACCACGCAAACCTCCAAAGACCCCGACAGCCGAGGCCTCGCGTGCCCATAGGCGGCCCCGAGATCGCGCGACCCGAGGAGCTAGGCGAAACCGCAGGCCTCAGAATTTCCGTGAGTTTGACAGCATGTGAAGGGGGGCTTTTCAAGCTTGGAGTTTCATAGTGGTTCAGTATGCCGTGGAGCGTTGCGGAAGAGACTAACAGTCTGCAATGATGCCACTGTTCTTACTACTGTTCATATTGTATCTGTCAAATTCGTCCGCATGTCCGCCTGCACTGCACTCAGCCGGGAAGCAGGAAAGCGGCTAGATGCATAGCTGGCAAAGCGTATAGGACGGACGCAAGTAGCCGCGTTTGGCAAGGTGGAAACTTGCATATGTAGAAATTCGTGACCTACTTGGAGGTTCATGGGTAGTTATAAGAGTTAGAAGTCCCCTAGTAGTGGTTGTAACTATAGTTACCCCACTTCTACCCCCACCTTTACCTACCCATGAACCTCCAAGTACCATAGACCCGATAATACAGGAGGGTCCCCGTAAAAACAGACCTCAAGACAGGGACCATGATCTTCTCAAGCCCTCGGACTTTGCGACAATAAGGAAGGAACCCCAATAGGCGGCCATAAAAGCCCTAGATAGATCCGAAGAAAGAAGACAGCCGATAAGGCATACACAGTGTTAGTATTTTAGTTTAGAGCTTGGGGTATCTCCCTTACAAAGCCAAGCACAATGCTAGAATAAGCAGAGCACCAGAAAACCCTGCAACACCCTATACAGCCCTGGAAGTGGTCCTGATAAGCCTAACAACGTGCCTCATGATCCCCAAATGAAGCCCCACAGTGCAACCGTGTACCCCTCCAGCAAAAAGCGCAAGCCTTAAATCCTAAACACTAAGCTCCGCTATCTACCCCTCCCCCCTGGAAAAGGCCCCAAACCCCAATCCTAAACCTTGAACCTTCAACCCGCAACCCTAAACCCTCAACCAGAAACCCTGAAAACCGAAAACCTAAACCCTGGAACCTTCAACCCGCACCCCCCTTTTTTTGAGGCTCCTCCTCGGAGACCAGCACTGCCTGCACGGCGCTCTTCAAGGCTTCACCGGTTGAGGGTTTGGATTTTAGGGTTCAGGGTTGAGGGTTGGAATATTTAGGGGCCGAGGGCCCTTTAGGGTTCCTAGAAGGCTCTAGAAGTGGGGTTAGGGTTTAGGGTTTAGTTCATTTAGGGTTTAGGCTTCATGGGTAGATATATAGGTGGGGTTATAAGTAGGGTAGCTGTGGCTGTGGCTATAATAGCTGTGACCTATATTAAAGGACTCATAACTCCATTCGAACATACTACCCGTGCACCTGCAAGTGCAGCCCCTTCGAGTCCTTACATGGGGCTCTATGAAGTCTTGGGTTTTGCGGGATTTTGCGAGAAGGGTCTTCTAGAGTGCCTGAAAAGGGTTCTACCAAGTTTGGTTTGAAGGCAGCGTCCTTCGAGGACTTCTAGAAGGCGTTGGGTTTGGATGCTTCTTAGGGGTTCCGGACTTTTGTGGACTAGGAGAAGGGCATCACACAAACCAGAGGCCCCAAGCTCTAAAGCCTAAACCTGTAGAATCCAAAGAATTCTTGAAGCACGCGTGCAAGAACACAACCCTCAGCCGCACGCCCACAACCTTAAAAGCGTGCAGAGCACCCTTCGCACAACACTGGCCTGTATAAACAAAGTATAGTATAGGGGCCCGGAGAAGTTCTTCAGTGTTGCTCCTGTAGTTTCCTTGCTATAGTTATAGTAAAATGCGGCCCAAAACTTTATTCTAGGTATTAAAGCCCCTACCTTGGAAGACTTGTCTAAACCCCTTGACAAAACGTTCGTGGGACCTCGAGAAAATCCCACAGCCCTAAACCCTAAACTCTAAATCCTTAAACTCTAAACCCTAACCACCCCCGCAAAAACCCTATGTAAACCCAAGACGGAAGCTTCAGCCGCTCCAGGAGGATTCCGGCGAGTTGGACCCGTCGGAGGTCCGATGCGGAAGCGGGCTGGGGGTAGGAAATGCTTGAAGGGTTCATGTGAGGGCTTTTGTGGGGCGCCTTACATGCGTTTTACGGGGGTTTGCAAGTGTTCAAACGGTTCTATTGGTTTTGCTTAAAGTGTTTTCATGTTTTATCGGCTTTAGAAAGGCTAGTTTTTCTTTCTGTTAAATTTTTGGCGGTTTAGGGTTTGGGTCATGGGTTTCGGTTTGGGATTTAAGATTCAACTCGGGTTTCATCGGGATTCTGCTGGGTTATTTTTGGGTGTTATAGGGTTCAGCGGATTCTGTGTTGTAGCAAAGTAAGAGTCGGGTGTGGGGTTCTCCAGAGTGCTGAAGGAGCAAGACAGATGTAAGACCAACCGAGAGATGTTTAGGGCTTTGCTAGGATGCCCAGTAGTACCCTTATTCCCTTTTTGTAGTCCTAGGTTCCTTATAAAGTTACCCAATACCAAAAAGAGAGGCCTTTTTATTCTTAGGTTACTGGGTATCCTAGTTTGGGTTTCCCATGTTGCGTGTTAGGTCCTGGTCTGGTTTAATCATATAATCCCCGAAGGAGCCTGTCCCGCCGACCACGATCATGATGCGCCGCTTGGCTCACACATTACGGTTAATAGTCGGGGTTGTAGACGGGCTTTGGACCCTACATCCTACGCTCTACACTCTACACCATACCCTACAATGAGTTCTGTTTCTTGGGCATATTTGGCTTTGTTTGGCCTGCTTCGACTGTCTTTGTGGCGAACACGGTTGACAAAACCTGAAGGATGTGGCTATATCAACAACCAGTCAAACGCAGCATCCACAACCCAAGCAGCCAAACCCTAACTCTATGTATATCCTACGTACCTGTCTCCGAAGCCCCGACGCAGACCGTGAACCCTAAATCCTGTAACGCCCTCATGAATTGCAGAGGCGTCCCTGAACCCTAAACCCTAAAACAAAACCCTCAAGCCTAAACCCTAAACCCTGAACCTTAAACCCTGAACCCCAGCGACAAAAAAACCCTGAACCCTAAACCCTAAACAGACCTATTCGGAATGCGCCCGGACCGAGGAAACATCCCCAGCGAGTTCAGCGGATATATGCGCCTCGGAGCCTATGGTCAAAGGGGAAAAGGAGGGACCCTTAATGGGGACCCCTACCCTATAATGGGCTATATAATGGGTATATCATAGCTATATTAAGGGTATATACCTAGGGGTCCTTATTAAGGGTCCCTCCTGTTACCCCTGGATTCAAGCTTAAACACATCTAAGCGCTCAGCCGTAAACAGTAGGGTAACACAGCGTTTAGGGTTTAGGGTTGCGGACTTAGGATTTGCTTGGATGGTTGGGAAAGATTATTCCTGAAGGTTCCCGAATAGTTATTGTAGTATATATCCCCCCAAGCCCAAACCCTTGCGATTCCCGCATATGACTACTTGGAGGGTCGGGGGACTTAGTAACTGGTTATGTTAGGGACTTATAAGCACCATAACCCCAATTAGGTTCCCCTTTTAGGGTACTTATAAGTCTACCTACTAGCTACTTACTAAGTCCCCCGACCCTCCAAGTACCATGCCTCAGAACCTGTAGGCCGCTGCTCAGGACCTTCCTACTATTTGCTTAAGAAACCCACAAAAAATAAAAATAATAATCCCTATATTACCCCCATAAGGAATATATATTTTTTTTATTTTTTGGGGGTTCTTAAGCAAATAGTAGCTTCGGGTTCAGGGTTTGGGGTCGAACGGTAGTGTTTGGGAGGACACTGTTGCTTCCAATTTGGGTGGTTATCAATGTTAGGATCCCTTTTTGGGTCCTTATTATAATACGGCACCTAATAGTTAGGGTACCCCAAAAAGGGACCATAATTTTGACAACCGCCCATTTGTTTGTCGGCGGCACCGGTTCGGAACAACTGTCCCTCTGCTGGACAAGCAAGCTCTGCAGCAAGCTTGCGAGGACCTGACAGACCCCTGTGTAATTCAGATGCGAAGCTCCACTGCACAAGGGGTTTCCATGCATCCTAAGGCTACCGTCGCCGAGCTCAACGGACATCTTACGATGCAGGCCCGCCAACTCTTTCCTGCCAAGCGACAACATGGCCGGTTAGGGCCGTGGCAGAGGCCTGAAGTCGGCCTTAGTTCGACAAATGTGGGAGGCCGTTGCTCAATGGAAGCAGAAGGCAAGATATGGGCGAGCAGGCCTCTTCCAGGCCTGGACAGCCTACGCACGATTCAAAAGGGCCCATCGCCTCTATCGTGCCAGAAGCAACAATGCTCGAAATGCGTGGTTCAAAAGAACAAGTCCAGACCATGGAAAGTGCAGCTCAGGCGGTAAACCTACGACCCTATTACATCATCGACGACGTTGTGTTCCACCACGATTTTTCCCTCCTCGCCAGCAACACCATTATCGCCACCATCATCAGAATCGTTGTATTTGTTTTCTTTGAACACGATGAGCACGACAAATTGCTGCTGCAGTGGTGATGGCGACGGCAAATGGTGAGCCCGATGGTAATGATGATGAGCTTATGGTGACGGTCATGATTCGGATGGTGATCTGCGTCATGACGGTCACTCATGTTCATGAGTCGCAGCAGCTGGCACTTTTTTTTTTTTTTTTTGTTCGCCACCCGAAACCCAAACCCTTCCGACCCTAAAACCAAAGCCTTAAACCCTGAAGCCCTAAACCCTGAACCCTAAACCAGTCGTGTTTTCGGCAGCCGTTTTCGGCATCCGGCGTTTTGCAAGTTTCTGTCAGTTGTCGACAACGGCCTTAGCCCCTGAACCGTGACCCGGAAATCCTACTCTCATAAATGACGACTCTTTCGTGGGGTGTAGCGTTTAGGGTTGAGAGTTTAATGCTGTTGCTATTCATGATTATCATGGCCTCGCCACAAAGCCTTGTTCCTAAACACCCTAAACCCTAAAAACCCCTAATGCATACTATCCATCCTAGCACCATGCACTCTAAACCTGAACCTAAACTGTAAGCCCAACACTGCTTGGAGGTTCATGGGTAGTTATAAGTGGGGTAACCGTAGTTATAACCCATATTATGGAACTTATAACCCCACTTGTACCTACCCCTGAACCTCCAAGTGCTTCCTAGCTCAAGCGAGGCTTCTGCAGCTGCTGAACAAGCACGGCTTTAAGGCTCGGGCCTGCAGTTTGCAAGTTTGGGCCTTAGGGTTTATGGTTTTTTTGGTTTGGGTTTTAGGGTTCAGGGTTCTGTAGGTTTTTACAGGGGTTTCTGTAGCTTGGGGTTGTGATGTGGTTCAATTCTAGCCTAGTGTGTTCGTACTAAGAAAGAACCCAAGATGTCAGGTTTTAGGGTCCTGCAAGCTCGCGCCGGGGTCGCAGCTACCGGTGACCATCCTTCCCTTCCACGTACCCAATCCTGGACACCAAAAAGCCCTAAACCCTGAAAGGCTTAAGCCCTGGAGCCTAAACCCGAAACCTTGAAGCCCTCAACCCTAAACCCCTAAACACCTAAATCCCTAAACCCCCTAGCCCTGAGACATAAAGATGCCGTTCAGGTCGCTATTTCCTAACTTGAACCCTACGGTTCGGAAGCTCAGATGGCAGGAGGAGCTCTGGTTCTCCAAGTGACAGTCCTCCGATGGAAGAGCTCCGAAGGATATCACCAACCGTTTCTAAGGATTCTAGAACTTAATTTTGGTTAGTAGGGAACGGAGGAATGGGGTACAATCATGACTACTATTACTTCCATTCTTCCATTCCCGACTAACCGAAGGTAAGAGAAGGGTTCCTATTCGTTTTGTTTATTCTTCCCTGGGGCTTTACAGGAGCTTCTGATGAAGTGTGAACAGAAGGGTTGAAGGGTTCGGGTTTGGGGCTTGGGGTTTTCAGTGTTGGCATAGAAGCTCAAACAGTTACCAGCATAATTCCATAAACTTCACCCCAGGCCTTATTCCGGTCATTAAGGCCCCCACAACCCTAAACCTTAAGCCCTAAACCTTAAACCCTAAACCCTAAACCCCAAAGCCTAAACCGGCGTGGTCAAGCCCGCCCCTCCACCCTTATACCTGTGCGCCCCTCAACTCCAAACGAAACCTGCGAACCCTTAACACCCCTTTATGGAGCCCTCGAAGAATCCCGGAAGAGAGCCCCTAAACCCGAACTCCAAGCTCTAAACCCTAAACCCTAAACCCTAAACCCTAAACCCTAAACCCTGAACCCTAACCTCTGAACCTTAAACCCGAAACTCTAGACCTCCTGAACCCTGAACCCCAAACCTTGAACTCTAAACCCTTAGCCCTGAACCCAAAAGCCCAAAAGCCCCACCCTAAGCCGAAATCAGGGGAGCTACGACCTGGTTTATCTTCCGCCACTGGCCTTTATCGGGGTTCTACATGGTTTTGTAGGGCTTACTAGGGTTTTATAGCCGTACTCTCGGTGAGACATTCCGCTTAAGTGTTTGAAGTCTGTTCAAGCCAAGTTGCTGATTGGTGCTAGAGGGTTTACAGTTTCGGATTCAGGGTTTAGATTTTTAGGGTTTAGGGATAAGGGCTTTTAGGGCTCCAGGCTGGGGGAATTCCGGGCTCCAACAGACGAAAACCAATTTTTTGCGTAAGATGTTCTGGGTCAAAGGTCGGGTTTGCTGGTTGGGATGCAAGGCCTCGGATGTGGCAACCTACAGTCCCGAGCTTTTAACTTGGCAGTGGTTTGTTTTGGATACTTTGGCATACTCAGGTTCTCAAATCTTTCTTGCTTCAGGGGACAGGTTATTTGCAGATCCCGTGGACTTGCAATCTAAGCCCGAGTTTATAGACACTAGGCTTAACCAGAAACCAAGCCCAAAACCCCAAGCCCAAATCGTAAGCCCTAACCCTAGAACCGTAAAGCTCTCAACCAGTACCAACCAACTTTAAACAAACATGGTGCTAAGTGGCGCATGATGTGCAGGAAGTGCTCTGGGCTATATACAGTTGTCCAGATGCTTTGTAAGAGTGCAGAAGTGTATATGCGTTTGCTAGTAGGAATGAGTTCTGTTGGTGGCATTCATGGTGAAATCAGTTGTAACATCCCACGCCACAGACACGTTTCGACAATGTCCTGCAATCCAAGGATGGACTACCACAACAAGGTGCCGTCTTTGCATGCTGTACTTGCGCACCTGTGTGGTGTTGGTCGTTTAGAGTTGGTTTTGAAACCGAAGTACACAGAAGTGTTTCGATTCTCCACCGAAGTTCGTCAGCACGCATGACCGAGTTGGACAGCCCCGTCCTTCGGATGAGTCCACTGGGGCCCTGAACCATGCATCCCAGCCGTAGTTGCTGCTGCTTACTGTGGCCTCGGACGTCGAGCAAGCATTGAAGCGAAGACACTACGGTAATCCCGAAACCTTAAACCCTAAACTCTAAACCCTAAAGCCTAAACCCTGAACCCTAAACCCTAGACAGCCCTGAGAGGTTGGCTTTGGCTACGCCTTCATCAACTTTGCCCGGCACACAGAAGTCATGTCAACTGGGGGTAATTGTGGCAGTCGCGCAGGTGCTGGACTAGCCTAGCAGTAGGAGAAGGAGAACTCGAAGTCTGCAAAAACACACGCAGCATCACCAGGTACAATAGCACCGGCAGCACCCATGAACACGCATCGGTGAACGACACAAATATCATCGTGTAATGCAAGAAGCGACCGCGATAGTGCAGGGGGGCATCGCTTGGCACCAATATATATACACACATATATATATATATGTATATATGTGTATAAACGTATATATACAGATACACATAGACTCGTTCTGAAGTCCCATTCTCAAGTCCCTAAGCTCCCCAAACCTAAGCCCCAGACCCAAGGCCTCCAGCGGCTTCCAACGATTGCTTAAAGGTTCAGGGGACTTAGTAACTAGGGTTATAATCAGGGTAACTGTACGTATAACTACTTATTACCCCAATTAAGGTACTTATAACCTGACTTACTAAGTCCCATGATCCTCCAAGTGGGTCTGCAGCCCCAAGGCCCAAGAGATCCTGGAAAGGGGTTCGTTTTAGGGTTTAGGTGTTTAGGGTTTAGGGATTGAGGTTTAGGGTTTAGGGTTGCTAGAAGGGTAGAGAAATAGGGCTTGAATAGTTCGAATAGCACTGAACACCGACGAATGGGTCAAAAAGCTTGAAAACAGTAGGGGGTCTTTAGCGGCAATGTCAATGTATGGCCCCTGGATACACCAAAAGTCATCCGAATTCTGAACGCCCTTATTCTGTCAAAACCCTTTAGCATCCCTAAACCTACCCTATGCAGCCGAACTGTGACAGCTCATAGTGAGCTTCAGGGTTTAGGTTAAGGGACCTCATAGTGAGCTTCAGGGTTTAGGGTTCCGGGTGCCTCACTGCAGTGCTGAGGTGGACGCCACTCAGGCGGAAAGGTTCCGGTACGCCTTTGAGGGCTTCCATGACTGGGGCGTGGCACCTCGATGTGTCACAGGAGGGAAGGGCTTTTTTGCTGTTTGGAGGGTTTGAGGGTTTAGGGTTTAGGGTTTAGGGGAGGGTTTGAGGGTTTAGGGTTTAGGCGACGGGCTTTGCAGGGTGCCAAACGCGGTGTATGGGAGAGGGTTTTGGGAAACCCTAAGCCCAAAAAGCCCTAGGTACACCCTTGAACCCTAGCGGGAGGTTCATGGGCAGGTATAAGTGGGGTTACAAGTAGTGTAATAATACTTACAACCAAATTAAATTAGCTGATGTATAACTCCCTATATGGGTGGTTGTGAAAATTATGGCCCAAATCTGGGTACCCTAAACAAATATTAGCTGCCGTACTTTATAAGGACCCAAAAAGAGACCATAATTTTGACAACCACCCATATAACTGCCCGTGGGCCTCCATTTCGAGGGCCCTGAGCGTTGTGGAAGCTTTCATGGTTCTGAGGGAATCCTGCTGGTTGGGTTAGGGATACGGTTTGGGGTTTAGGGTTTAGGGGTTTAGGGGTTTAGGGTTCAGGCTTTGACTTTAGCGTTGCGGGTTTGGGGTTTAGGGTTTTGAGTTTAGGGTTTGGGGTTCAGGTTCCGGAACTTCTGGCCCAACCTGTGCTTCGACTTTTGACCTACTAAGCTCCACGATCCCTAAAGTATCTTGGTTACCAGCACAGTGATTTAATCTTAAACCTAGTAGAAGAGTAGGTAACCTCCAACTTTTTTGGGTAGTATAGTCCCAATATAATCCTTCTGCAACCGAAAAGTTTATATAACCTTTAGTTCCCCGTGATACCCGACAAGAAGGTAAACTATGGACGCTCATGCAGCCCATTGCTGCTCTTCTTCTGCTAGCTTGTTGTCAGTCTCATTCCGATGAACCTGTTGCTCGAAGGTCCACTTGGAGGGTCGGGGGACTTAGTAAGTAGTTAGTATAAAGAGTTATAAGTACCTTAATAGGGATCCTAATTGGGGTTATGGTACTTATAACTCTATAAAGTAACTAGTTACTAAGTCCCCCGACCCTCCAAGAGTTACTAAGTCCCCCGACCCTCCAAGCAAGCGGTACTCAGTACGGTGAACCTTACTAGAAAACCGGACACAAACCTGAAACCCAAAACCCAAAGGCCCAAGACGCCTGAAGTTTAAAGTTCCTGAGCCCGGTGTACTAAACGCCAAGAAAGCATTTAGGGTTTAGGGTTTAGGGTTTAGGGTTTAGGGTTTAGGGACAGACGTATAAGTATCTCAAAGTCAGTAGAGTCAAAAGCGAGTTAGTTGGGATTATCATGCTTTTCACCGTACTCGTTACTAAGCCCCTCGATCCTGGAAGTATCCAGGCCAAGCCTCCACCAAAATGTCTCGCCACCGTAAAGACACGAAGTCGCACACTGCAAGCCATAAACTGTCTGGTGCTTAGTAGGGGATGGGGGAATGGATCCCTATAGTAGTCCTTGTATAATCCCCAATCGTAGTCCCCATAATCCATCCCCCCATTCCCTACAAAGCGCCTGGGAGTAAAAGCACGATGCGCTCTGATACTCTGGCACCTTAGAGGAACCTTTTGGAACCCTCAAGTGCGCCGTTAAACGAACCCTAAGCCCTAAACCCCTAAACCCGTAACGCCCTAAAGCCCTAAACCCTAAACCCCTAACCCTAAACCCCCAAACCCTTAAACCCTCAGAAAGAGAAGGGCCCCCAAATATTTCAGCCCGACCAAACCGAAGCCGAGGTGAGCGAGAAGGTGCGCTGGTTGCCTGCGGGATGGGGTTCGTTCATGCAGTTCCAGCATTTCACTTTGATTGGGAGTTGGGGCTTGAAGTCCTGGAGGTCTTGGTGGGATTTGATAGCCCTGCACCCTAAACCAAACAAAAACCCTAATCCTCAAACCCTGAACCCTAAAGCCCAATCCTAAAATCTTATAGTACCCGTCTTTATAGTACCGTTATTATAACCCTAGAGCCCAAAACCCTAAACCCTAGAGCCCTAGAGCCCTAGAGCCCTAAACCCTAAACCCCTAAACCCCTAAAGCCCTAAAGCCGTAAACCCCTAAACCCTGAACCCCTAAACCCTTAAACCCCTAAACCTACAGGCTGAGCCCAAAAGCCCAGAGCCTGGCACCTTGGCTTGGTCTCGCTAGAACTCAGCGCTTCGGTGCTTGTGGGCAGAAGAACCGGTCGGAAGTGGGGGTTTAGGTTTAAGTTTAGGGTTTAGGCTTCAGGTTTGAGGGTTAAGGTTTCAGGTTTGAGGGTTTAGGGTTTCGCCGCCCTTCGAACGGCTCTGTAAGCGTTGATCTGGATTCTATAACCTCGAGTTCTAGAAAACAAAGTTAATGGGTCCTCTATGCTTCTATAACGCTTCGATACAGGCTCTAAACCAACCTCAAAGCCTGGACCTCCGTTCTAGCCTTGTTTGGGCCAGGGTACGCAGCCTCTAGGAAACCCCAAACCCCAAAACCCCAAAACCCCAAAACCCCTAAACCCTAGACCCCTAAACCCTCAACCCTAAACCCCTCAACCCTTAACCCCCTAAACCCTAAAAAAACCATATCGCCCGCCTCTACACACTTTGCAGTCTACTTGGAGGTTCATGGGTATTTTTTGGTGGGGTTAAAAGTAGGTGAACTGTAGTTATAACCCATATTATGGGACTTATAACCCCAGTTGTAACTACCCATGAACCTCCAAGTAGGCCTTAAACCCTCTACCCTTATATAATCCTTATAGATCCCTTTAAAGGCACCCTTATAACTACCATGAACCTCCAAGTGCAGAAAGCAGGTCTGCGAAGTCTGCTGGAGCAGCGCAACCTGGGGCATCTTAAGGGGTTTAGGGCCCGGGGGTGTAAGGGTTTAGGGGTTTAGGGGTCTAGGATTTTAGGGGTTTAGGGTTTTGGGGGTTTAGGATTTTAGGGATTTAGTGGTTTAGGGGTTTAGGGGTCTAGGGGTTTATGGGTTTAGGGTTTAGGGGTTTAGAATTTCTGGGCTTGCAGAAATCCTGTTAACGTCCTTTCTGACTTGGGGCTTCGTAAGATCTTGAAGCAGGGCTCTGCAAGGCTGGCACGGCCTGACAGGGCTTTTTGATGCTTATTTAAGATTTGGTTGGTGCTGCTCTTGGGTCGAGGCTACTTTGGGGAGTGCTCGAAGGGTTTAGGGATACAACGGTTTACGATTTAGGGTCTAACGTTTAGGAAGGTTGAACTGACGGTTTCCTAGAATGGCTTGCGACCATGCTCGAGGATGTCTTGCGGGTCGTGAATGTTCAGAGTCATGAAGGAGCCATGCAAACAAAAGAGGGTTTCGGGTGGAGGATTTCAGCACCTCGCAGTAACAGTCCCTTAACAGCCTGGGTAGGGCTTTGGGGCATTTTGTATTTATTTATTCTTGTTGGGCTTAAGAGGATCTTACCTACTAATAAGCACTTCCTAACAGCCCCTTAATTCGAAAGTTCTAGGCCCTGAGTCAACCTAAACGGGATCTCTCGCGGTCGCTTTTACTGCAAAACGGGGTTTAACCAGTACGTAAAACGGACCGGCCGAAACCACAACCCTCCTACAAAAACGAATCTTCATAATGCCGAATGCTGGTTGCTGAACCTGTTCATCAAGAGCGCTCATGTTAGGATACAGTATCCATTTTGTATTAAAATCCCTTATCAACGGAGCTGCATCAACCAATCAGGAATCTACAAGCCCGAAACCCTGATGACCACTCGTGCAAGATCTCTTGTAAACTAGTTACAACCATATACTGCCATATACAGACCGTACTAATTGAGTTCATCCACCTGGGGTCTACCACAGTCCATAGTCTCAAAGCTGTCCTGGCCATGACCCAGGTACTTCAGGGGGTGGCTGCTCACGTAGAACGCCCCTTGTCTTTCGTTTTCAGAGCTTGTGGGCCGTTTTCTTGATGCATTCGTGCTGCATGCAATCTACATAACTAACAACAAGGACGACTCATACCGCTAGTGAGTACCACTTTTGCTCCTGCTGCTGCTCCTGCAACTGCTGTCGCTGCTGCTACTGCTGCTGATATTCCTACTACTGCTGCTACTGCTGCTGCTACTACTACTACTGCTGCCGCTGCAACTACTACTACTACTACTGCTACTGCTACTGCTACTGCTACTACTACTACTACTACTACTACTACTACTACTACTACTACTACTACTCCTACTCCTACTCCTACTCCTACTCCTGGCAGCTTATACAGCTCTTCTGTGTGTCAACATCAACGCACAACTCGGAGGTGACTGGGTGAAAGATCACTTGACCAAGTATGCGGACGATTCGCACCTCCGCTGGCGTTTTCAATCCTTTGAGCAGTTCGAGGCCATCATGCAAGAAGTTTGCCAAGTGTTTGTCTGCTTCCGTAAGTTTCACATGAAGATCAATCTTGAGAAAAGTAAGGCCATCCTCAAAATGGTGGGCACCCTCAAACACAAGGTTCGCAAGGACTTCATCCGGAAAACCAATGCAGGCCATCGACTATTGCTCTCTCCCAGGAATCCAGACAAGTGGCTGACCCTGGTGCAAAGCACGGAGTACCTAGGCGCCATCGTGTCATATCAGCAATTTGAGCTTCAAACATTACGACATCGCATTTCGAAGGCCAACGCACGAAGATGGGCACTGGCTTCTTTTCTGCACTCTCGCAGGATATCGGTCAAGCTTAAACTTCGCATCTGGCAAAGCAGTGTTTTGTCTTCGCTCTTGTACGGATTGAGCACATGTGGGCTCACCGGAGGACAAGTGGAGGACATCCAGCGGGTCATCATGAAACATGTTCGGGCCATCATTTCGAACCAGGCGCATCTCACAGGGGACAAACATGAAGTCATTATCCGAAGATATCACATTCCGTTGGCAGCCGATCTCCTGCAAGCTGAACTTGACAGAGCCGGAGCGGCTCAAGCACAACATGCAGATTGGATGTACGAGGCAGAGTGGCAAATGCATCTTCAGAGCAGGCTTCAGACCATCACAGCTCCACCTTCTCAGGACACAGAGACGGCTACCTGGGCGTGCCCGGCGTGTGAGAGTATCTTCAACACCCAATCTGCCCTCAAATGGCATGCCAGGCGAATGCATGGCATTGTGGATGAGCGGGCGACGTTTGATAAAACTCTTCACTCGGTACGAGGCCTTCCTATCTGTCGGTTCTGTGAGAAGAAGTTCAGTAGATGGCAAACCTTGGCGGATCACATCACCAAAAGAAGGTGCCCGCAAGCAGCTCTCCAAGGAGCACATCCCAATACTGAGGCGGGTTCTCTCCCTACTACCACCACTGATGAGTTGCCTCAGTCCGCAGCTGCTGTTGTGCCGTCATCACTACCACCACAGGATAAAGAACTTCCCGAAGCTGCCGGCCATGATCCTGTTGAACCCCCTCGACATGAACTTCCTCCACCTGAGCCGTCGCAGCCCCGGCATCCCGCTATTAATGGTGACGTCATCCTCAATCGGCCCCAGGTTCGTGAAGCTGCACAGCGGGGACTGAACGCACTCATTCGACTTCCGGATGTTCTGCAATCGCTCAAGCAAACATGTGCCCTTTGCGGTCAGTGGATTGCATCGCATCGTACTGTGAAGCGACATTACCAGTATTCACATGCTGATGTTCTCGATCGGTTTAAGGGTCAGATAGAGCGACAAGTCTGCCGTGTCGCCACTGCGTGTCCCACCTGTCACTTCTGTCATGTTCGGACAAAGGACTGGCGTGCACACTTGAAACAATGCACAGTTGCATGGCAGGGATCCATTATCTGTCTGCTGTGGCAAGAGGAGTGCGGAGCCAGTGTCGGCATTCGACGAGCTGGAGGACTTCTTTGGGGAGGTGAAAGCAGAGGGTCAAGCGACCAACAAACGAAGGAAGCCGGAGCCCGACAGGTCATACAGACCGACAGGACAGCTGGGCCGAGCAGATCCATTAGTTCTTTCTTTGGCGCGGGCTGTGGTCCGTCAAGAGGAGGAACTGAAAGTGCTCAAGCAGGATCATTCGATAGTGATGTGGCTACGCCCAGGGGAATACGGCATCCTCCACCACCTTTATGTGACGGCCAAAGCCTTCAAGCAGAAGCAACAGGAAAATCCGATGTGGGGTTGCGTACAGTGATGGCAATAGCTCTTTTTCGGGAGATGGAGGTCCGGGTCAACAAGGTTCTAGCAGACGAAACCTTGCAGAAGAAGGCAGCAGACATGGGTTGGCGAGATCCAGCCACGGGTTGGAGGTATCAACGATGGAACCCCTCCTTAAAACACCTGGAAGCCGACTCCTCCAGGAACCCACTGACGGATCAGCAGGTGCTCCAGGCCTTCAAGATGCTGTACACGTCCCTGGACCAGGACACGGTTACCAGGTTCTCATGCACAAGGAAGGTTACCGAAACGATGGCGAACCAAGCTACATTCCTTATGGACATCTCGGTTCGCACACCGGCGGCCATGGAAGCTTGGAAAACCATGCACATGCTTCAGGGCTGCTCTGTTCTGCAGCTCGGCGGGATGGCGTACCGAAGGGACACGTTGAAGTGCAGCCCTCTGGTGGAGAAGATCAAGGAGATGCTGCGTGGCCGTTGAGGCTTCGGCTCCAGAATCCGGGTAATCATTGCTACTTTAACTCGTTCGTTCAGGTGCTCTGCTGGCTCCTTCATCGAGATCCTGATCGACTTGCCTCTCTGGGGCGATGTGCTCAGTTCCTCAATGGCTTGAAGAATGGCTCCTTTGAAAAGTCGCATAACTTGTTGAACAACTTCCTCTGGAGGCTCCTGCTACGTGGATGGACCGATGTTCAGAGGCAGCATGATGTCATTGAGTTCGCGGCTCACATTAACAACAAACATGAACTTCAGCTGTTTCAAGGACAATGGGAGACGCGGAAAGTTTTTGAAGGGGTACCCAGTGCCATTGAAATGGGGCTCACGACTCAGCCTCTTCAGCTATACATGCCGGAACTACCTCCTGGCCTCGATGCTCCTCTCAGTATTCAAAGGCTCATGGACCACTGGATGCATCATGATGGGGTTTCAGCATTTACTGTGGCGCCCTCAATCCTCCTTCTACAGATTGATCGCTTTCAAAATGTTCGAGGGCGTATCTCGAAACGCATGGAGGCTGTCAACATTGGGGGCAAACTGAGAGTGCCTCTCTTCACAGGCATCGGTATGGGTATCCGCATCATACCGTATCGACTGACTGCGTACATCACTCACTTTGGGATGCACCCACAATCAGGGCACAATGTTTGCACTCTGGTGCAGGAGGCAGTGCACTGGCGATGTGACGATGAGCGGACAGCTGTACAGGGGAATGCGCTGAGCTTTGAACATGCTTCCAATGTCTATATGCTCATCTACGAACAGACTGATGTTTCTTCGCATGACGTGTGACTTGTTCTGCTTAATGGCCCCAAGGGGCGGGAACAAGGAAGTGTGCCTGAGACAGCATACGCTGTGCGCTATGGCGCCGGGGCTAAGCCTTGCTCTAGTCATTTTCGCCGCTGGGTAGTCTCGACGACTGCTGCGATCAAAGCTACAAAGCTCCTACTCTTACTGCTACTCCTACTACTACTACTACTACTACTACTACTACTCCTACTCCTACTCCTACTACTACTACTACTACTACTCCTGCGACTGCCCCTATTCCTAGTCTTACTCATACTACTACAACGACGATGCTGCAGCGCTCACAATCGTGCTTCGGCATCTGCTCCGGTCATTGGAGAGGCAGCTAATGTTGATGACGAGCATGATAACCATTATTACTATTATTATTATTATTATTATGGGAGTGCCGAAGATGTCGAAGTTTCAGCGGCGATGGCGGCGGTAATGATAACTTGACTTCGATGGTTGCGGTTGTGATAGTCAGGATGATGACGATGGCATAGCCTGGATTTTAATAGCCTTCCCTCGGTGCGCCTTGAGGCTACCGGAACAGTCCGGTGATGCACCCGTCGGTGCCGGACAGCTTCAAGCCAATGCTTTTCCGCAACGGTGACCGTGTGGCCTTTCCTGCCAGGGGCCTGGGGCAATAGTTGCGTCGAATTGTAGGGATCTAGAGTGGCTCTATAGGGCTTCATATGGTTTGGGTTTGGGGTTCAGGGGCTGCTTAAAGGATCCGGGGACTGAGCAAGAAGTCAGGCTGCATGTGCACTAGGTCCTCTGCCTCTGCCGAAGGGTTGCTATCTGCAGCGGCAGAACTTTTCTCCCGTGCTGCCCTTATGAAGATTATCACAGAAATCAGCACCATCGTCATCGTCATCATCATCATCAGTGGCGTCATGATCAGCATCATCATCAAGAACGGCATGCCCCGACATTGGGGCAGAAAGCATGACTATCCGAGGCTGCAGGGCATGTAGAACTGGCCGTGCATACACGCTGTTGTCACAACTGTTCACCATGGCAGTACCTCTCGTCATGGCAGCAGACGCAGCAGACGCAGCAGACGCAGCAGAAGCTGCACAGCAGCAATATCAGCAGAAGCATCAACATCAGCCACGAGGCCGTTGCTGCCTTGGCTGTTCAATCTTTATAATCTATGCTACGCAATACAAATACTCACTGACACACTACTAATGCTCACACCCGTTATAATCGGAAGCAGGGCAGCGAGGTACTTAACGATCTCGATCTATGTACTCGACTCTCTTGGAACATGCACAGTCTAAATCCTAAATCCGCAAAAACCATAAGCCATAAAGCCCTAAGGCCCGTAAACCGCAAAGCCATACATACAGCCCTCAACCCCATAAACCCCAACGCCTGAGAGCCCTACTTGGAGGGTCGGGGGACTTAGTAACTGGTTATGTGAGGGACTTATAAGTACCATAACCCCAATTAGGGCCCCCTTTTAGGGTACTTATAAGTCTACCTACTACCTACTTACTAAGTCCCCCGACCCTCCAAGTAACGAGAGTAAACTGGAGGCACCAACAAAGACGCTTCGCCCACCCAGACTTCGAAAGAAGGGGCAACTCTCACAGGCCTGCCCTGGGTTCCATGGGGGCCCCCTATACTTAGAGGGTTAGGGTTTAGGGGTCTAGGGGCCTAGGATTTTAGGGGTTTGGGGTTTTAGGGGTTTAGGGGTTTAGGGGTTTAGGGGTCTAGGGGTTTAGAGGTTTAGGGTTTAGGGTAGTTATAAGTGGGGTTATAGATAGGGTAACTATACTTCTAACCCATATTAGAGGACTCCTAACTCCATTTACAGCTGCCCATGAACCTCCTAAGACCCATTACACTTTCAATCCCGAGAGGGATTTATGTCAGGTTTCCTTGTAATGGCTCCTATATGAGGGGCTCCTTTAAGGTTTCCTTTTGAGGGCCCCTTTCTCCCATTTCCCTAAACCCTAAACCCCGAAATGAGGGGCTCCTTTGAGGGTTCCTTTTAAGGGCCCCTTTCTCCCGTTGCCGCCTTTCGCCCTCCCATCCTCAGAGTTGGAATTTTGCTGCGTGGGAGAGTTCCTGCGCCTGGCGCTTCGGCTGGTGATCATGTGGGTGGTTGTCAATGTTAGGGTCCCTTTTTGGGTCCTTATTAGTACACGGCACCTAATATTTAGGGTACCGAAAAAGGGAGAATTCGCGATACGGCTGATGATATAAATCCTGCATGATCCATAATCAGGAATGTGCCATATTTCCCATAGTTTAGGGTCCTTAAAGTAATGCAGGATATATATCATCAACCGTAGTACCCCCCCTTTTTAGTGCTATATAGCTACACTATAACAGACCCCCTAATTCTTCAGACCCCAATTAGATGATCGACCTGGGATAAGATTGTTGTTCGAGCTGCAGATACTGAAACCGAAACCCAAAACCTTTAGATGCTCGTATTGCGTGAGCTCGGTTGTTCAGACGTGTGTTGATCGGCCGACATCGTCACCCTTCCGGTGAGCTTTCGTGCCTTCTCAGTGAGACTTTATTTGCTGTAAGTTACCATGATAAGGAAACCCGGCTTCTTGGCAATAGATCCCTACTATGTTGACTTAAACTAAACTTATTAACAAGAGCCCAGTTTCATGCCCGCATGAGCCACGTCATATCCTTCAGCGTGCTCTTGCACCCTGCGTGAAAGTCCCTTTTCCTTTCCAGTGGTTCCCCCGTGATAGTTCACACCCGGGGAAGCCAGAGAGCCCAATACACCTTAACTCAGGAACATGGCTTACTTAAATTACAGTATAATCACTATTACTATCACTACAAGTGTTACTATTCTTCTCATCATTATATGTATATATATATATAGAAGTCTCCGATAATTGGAGGGTTCACTTGGGGCGAACGGCAGGTAGTGGACTGCGGAGACGCGCTTCCGGCCCGGCCGCTCCGAATGGGCTTGCAGTAGTGAGGAAGCGCAGGAGGATCCCCTCAAGGTCTAGAGACTCCACCACCCCGTGATCAAGGAATAGACCCCCCTATATATATATATATATGTATATATATATATATATGTGTATAGATATATAGAGTATTGATAGCAGCAATAAGAATAATTTACTAATACAAACTATATAGTAATGTTGACAATAGCTAAAACAGTAAAACTAGTAGTAACAGTAATACTAACTGTAGTAGTAGTAGTAGTAGTAGTAGTAGTAGTAGTAGTAGTAGTAGTAGTAGTAGTAGTACTACTACTCAATAGTATTGGTAATCATAATACTCATAAGAACCATAAGAGTCAGAAGCAGCATAATGATCATGATATTCATACTATCCATAGTAAATCATGATAAACCCGAATATATCATAATAAGTCATAACGCGTCATAACAAATCATAAAAGGTCATGGCAATCATAACAATCATAATAATCACAATAGTCATCATACATCATTGTCATAATAATCATAGTAATCATAATCATCATAAACACCGTCTTAATCAGAGAAACCATAAAACAAAAATAATCACAATACTCATAATAGTCCTAAAACCATAATAGTCATATTAGTCCTAATATTCGTAATAATCACAAGCATAGCAGTAACAACACTAACAGCAATATTAGCAAAATCACATTATATACAACAATATATATATATATATATATGTGTCAGTGATAACATTAGGTGTAATAGTAATGAGAATCACAATAAATGTAATGACAAGATGTTTCAGGTTAATAGCAACAATAACAGAGTGTTAAAAAGGATGTATAATCGTAAGAACAAATATTCACATGTCTCTCCCTCTCTCTCTATATATCCATGCACATATCGGTGTATTTTCAACTACAAGGAGATCTTTGTGATGCTTCGATGGTACATTCCTCAATCGAGGGGCTGTGGAGTCTCTGGATAGAATGTAAGGGTGCCTCTGTTTTAGCCACAAGCAGAGCCCAGGAGGGTTTAGGTATCTGAGCAAGTAGGTTCATATTTGTTGTTGACAAAGCTCATGAACACATAACCTTACGTACACTGTAAAATGCTGTAACCAGGATCTTAGGTACGGCCCCCCTACAGTAAGAGTCTACAATAGGTCTACTATTCAGGTCCTACTATATCTATATTATGAATATTATTCAACTATACTATATCTATATTATGAATATTATTCAACTATACTATATCTATATTATGAATATTATTGAACTCCTACTGAGTGGGGGCCGTACCCAACCGGGATCTCTCAAGTCTGACCCCGAAGCCCCGTCCGACAAATTATGCAACGACGCTAAAACCCCAAACCTTAAAGCTACTCCCGCTTCCAGAGACTCCAATATCCCTTAATTCAGGAATATTCCTTAAATTATAGTAGGATCCCTAATATGATTTAAGGAATATTCCTGAATTAAGGGATATTGGAGTCTCTGAGATGTCATAGTCTAGGTCATATGCAAGTTTAGGGGTGACATTGGTAGTGATTGAACATGTATCGATACTGGTGCTAGACTGCATTGCCAACGATTGCCCGGAATTCTTCTGTTGGTTTGGGGGGGGGGGGGTTGGGGGTCGGGGGGGGGTGATGACGTTGAGGATTGGAATCGCGATGATGTTACCGTTTGACTAACCATTGATATTGGGGGAGCCTAAGGAGCCAGGGATGATGATAACCCCTATTGAATAAGGAGCTAAAGAGCCAAAAGAACCCCCAAAACCACTGGTTAGTTGATGCTGCTGATGACGATGCTGCTCATGACCATGATGACGTGATTTGATGCTTCACGCTGACACAGGAGGCGTGCACCTAGTTTGCCTGGTGCTTTGGTTGGGTTACACCCTAAACTCTAAACCCTAAACGGTTTGTCCATGTTTTTCTGAATATTTTCAGGGTTGTCGGGCCAGGGGGGATGTTGCTGAGCATGTTGCTGAGGCTTAGGGTTTAGGGTTCCTGCGGCCTGCTTTCTGTCCAGGGCTTCGGAGGCAGGGCCAGGCAGGGGGCTG